GTACACGGTGTTTTTAGATTCGAGTCTCAAATGAAGATTTAGAGAAAGAAAGAGGGGCTGTTATGGAAGAATACCGAGGGAATCGAAATGCTACTGGTAGGATGCAAGATTCACATTGGCAGCTGATGATGGAAGGTTCTAAGGTATGTGAGGTCTTTTGTTAATCATTTGTGTAGTTTAAGAAAGACTCCAATGTGTTCTTAAAAGACTTTCATTTGACTGTAGTATGCTGAACGTTTACCCATTGGGTTGGAGAAAGTGATTCGATCTGTTCCTGCTGCAACTGTGAAGCAATTTTATCAGAAATGGTATCATTTATGCAATATGGCTGTTGTGGCTGTTGGAGATTTTCCAGATACAAAGGTACTACTATTTTAGTTTATGACTATGAATATGTTGTACGTTCAGAGTTTGTTGATAATCCTTGATTTTAGACTGTAGTTGATTTGATAAAGACACATTTTGAGGATAAAAGATCAAGTAGCGAGCCTCCAGAGATACCAGTGTTTCCTGTTCCTTCTCATGAAGAAACACGGTTTTCTTGCTTTGTTGAGTCAGAGGCAGCTGGGGTAAGTCAAATTTAACTCTCCAAACGTCTCCTGTATTATCCCGATGTCAATTTTCAAACTCCTAAGCTTCGTTTGTGGTCTTTAATTTGGCTTGTAGTCTGCAGTAATGATTAGCTATAAGATGCCTGTAAGTGATCTGAAGACGGTGAAAGATTATCGGGATATGCTTGCAGAATCAATGTTTCTACATGCTCTTAACCAGAGACTCTTCAAAATATCTCGTAGAAAGGACCCCCCATTTTTTGCGTGTTCTGTTGCTGCTGATGTCCTGGTGAGCCCTTTGAAGGCCTATATAATGAGTTCGTCTTGTAAAGAGAAAGGAACTCTTGCATCCCTAGAGTCTATGCTTCTCGAGGTCTCTACTCCTTTCCCTCTTTTCGGAGTCTGTCATTTTCTTTTCCCGCCGCTTCATTGGTTCTCTTGTGTTTTAGGTTGCTAGGGTACGCCTTCATGGGTTCTCAGAACGTGAAATATCTGTTGTTCGGGCTCTCATGATGTCCGAGATTGAATCTGCTTATTTGGAACGCGATCAGGTCCAATCAACTAGCTTGCGGGATGAATATATACAGGTAAAATATGTGATGAACTTTAATATCCAGCTTTCTGTCTTCCCCCTCTACCAAAAGCTTGTTTATATATGTGTTTCATCTTGCAGCATTTCCTTCACAAGGAACCTGTTATTGGGATTGAATACGAGGCACAACTTCAGAAGACTCTTTTACCCCGTGAGAACATGCATACTCTTTTTATAATGTAGTCTAGTTCCATTTTCGCTATTAAAGTCGTATAAATTATATTGGTTTCTCTCTGATGTAGAAATATCGGCGTCAGATGTGTCCAAATACTCTGAAAAGTTAAGAACATCATGCGGCTGTGTGATAAAATCAATGGAACCTAAATCTGCTGCTACAATTGATGATATGAGAAGTGTTGTCTCAAAGGTTAATAGTCTTGAAGAAGAAAAGATGATTGCTCCATGGGATGAGGAAAAAATTCCAGAAGAAGTTGTCAGTGAGAAGCCAACTCCAGGGTAAGCCCCGAACTGTAACTATAGGTTCACTGACAAGCAAAGGCCACCCACTCTTAATAGCCTCATTACCTTTAGATATTGGTTCTATTACTTTAGTTTTCAGAGATTGTCTGGGCCGAGTATAGATCCTCAAAAGTAAATATCTTTGTTTTATTATCTCTCTCTTATAGAAACTGATATTGGTTCTTTTGTTAGGAAAAGCATGATAAAATCCTATCTCTAAAGTCTTTTTCTGAACTAAATGGTTCTTTTGTTAAATTAAAAGTAGGCAGAGCTCAACTGATGTGCCTATATTTTTACATTTCTTATTTCTTATCTGTGTCTAATGTTCAATGAAGGGATATTACTCACCAGCTTGAATATCCAGAAGTTGGGGTTACAGAATTAACATTATCAAATGGAATGCAAGTTTGCTACAAGTCCACTGACTTCTTGGACGATCAGGTGCAATATTAACTGAGAGCTACAATATTTATACATGTGTGTGTATATGTTTAGGCATAGATGGCAATGGATTAAGCTCTGAGTTTCTTCTTATACTTAGTGTTTCCGTAACTTCATGATTGTCCTTTTTCTCCCTTGCAGGTTCTTTTTACCGGGTTCTCATATGGAGGACTATCTGAACTTCCTGAGAGTGATTACATTTCATGTTCAATGGGATCAACAATTGCTGGTGAAATTGGTATGTTTGGTTATAAGCCATCAATGCTTATGGATATGCTTGCTGGTAAGAGAGTTGAAGTTAGTGCAAGACTCGGACCGTATATGAGAACATTTTCTTGTGATTGTTCACCCACGGACCTTGAAACTGCTTTGCAGGTTCGCCTTCTTCCTACTGCTCATAAACGTTCATTTACTAAGTTCTTACGGGTTGATCTTAGGCTTTTTTCTAACATATTTGGCTGAAACTTAGCAGTTGACTTCATTAACCATAACATATTTGGCTGAAACCAACTGAGGTCAATGAAACCTAGCAGTAGACTTCATTAACATATTTGCTAACATCTAAATGATGCAGATTGAATGTATTGACAAATATTCCATGTGCATCCATAAACTGTTTTGCATTCTTTCTTCTTTTCCTCTAATAATGTTTTGACTCTCTTTGGATTGAACTTGCATTATCTTGTCTTTAGAATTGAACCTTATTATACGTTCTTTCCAGCTTGTATATCAACTTTTCACTACAAACGTGATGCCTCAAGAAGAAGAGGTTGGAATAGTGATGCAAATGGCAGAGGAAGCAGTCCGTGCTCGAGAAAGAGACCCTTACACTGTCTTTGCCAACAGAGTGAAGGAACTCAATTATGGAAATTCATATTTCTTTAGGGTATGATATCTTGTGTTTTCAAAATGACTAGTTATTTCCTAGTGAATCCAGCTGATTCTAACCCCTAGTGTCTGATGTGTAGCCGATTCGGATTAGTGAACTCAGAAAAGTTGACCCGTTGAAGGCTTGCGAATACTTCAACAGTTGCTTTAGGGATCCATCAACTTTCACTGTTGTGATTGTAGGGAACCTTGATCCTACTATCGCAGTTCCTCTAATTCTTCAGTATTTGGTAAGTTAGGTCACACCACTGCTGATACAAAAACGTACGCTTGGAATAATTGACTGAATTCTTGCGTTCGCTTTATGCAGGGTGGAATACCTAAGCCTCCTCAACCAGTTCTCAATTTCAACCGTGATGACCTCAAGGGCTTACCATTCACTTTCCCTACGAAGATAACAAGGTAAGCTGTATACTGATCTTGTCATTATCTAAGTTCAACAACGTAGTATATTTTTGTATGGCTTCAGTTTTGCCACTATAAATTTATGGTTTCTAAAATATTTGATTAAAAGTTAGGAAAACGGTAGAATTTATATTCTGAAAATATTGGCCCTGGTTAGAAGTTTCAGAATTCTGATAGAAATGTTCGTACATCGACCAATCAGAGACGATGATACTGTGTATTTCCCTTGATAATTACATATTGACTTAAAATTCGCAAATATTGCAGAGAATTTGTACGAAGTCCAATGGTGGAAGCCCAGTGTTCAGTCCAGTTATGCTTTCCTGTGCAGTTAACAAATGGAACAATGGTAAGTGACTCTGCTTCATCATTTGAATCATAACTTACACACTAATGATATTTTCTTCTTTTCCTTAGTACAAAGATGTCTTAATGCATTTGCTTCTTACCATTAAATTTATGATAGATCGAAGAAATCCATTGTATCGGCTTTTAGGCAAACTCCTTGAGACCAAGATAATCCAGTTTCTCAGGTTCGAGCATGGACAGGTATATTCTGCTCCTTGTGTCAGTTTTCTGTGATGATCATACCAAACCTTTAGTGACCATACTTTCCTATTAAGCAGATATATTCTGCTGAAGTCTCCGTGTTTCTTGGCGGGAATAAACCTTCTAGAACTGCGGATTTGCGTGGTGACATCAGTGTAAATTTTTCCTGTGATCCAGAAATCTCCTCTAAACTGGTATGTCCATCTACCTAACACTATCTAACGGTTTCTCTATATCTCTGGCTGCCTCAATATCTTTGGCTGCCTTTTTGGTCACCAAAGCCACCTCTTTGTCTTTCAGGTTGATTTAGCTTTGGAAGAAATTGTACGGCTTCAAGAGAAAGGCCCTTCGCAGGAAGACATTTCAGCCATCCTTGAAATTGAACAAAGAGCTCACGAAAATGGTCTGCAGGTATATTTTTCTTGCCATAATCACAAATCCATCACAGCCAAAAACCATAATTTGCTGTGGAAACAAAACTGATATTATTTTCTCTTGTTCAGGAAAAACTATTACTGGTTAGACAGGATTCTACGTGGATATCAATCAAGGGTTTATGCTGGCGATTTGGGCGCCTCTTGCAAGGTCAGTTAAAAAGAAAACAATTATGTCAATAGCTTTGATCGTTTTTCATAAACACAGTCTTACGAAAAGGGAAGAAACACTTCTCTGTGGTTTTCAGATTTTAGAAGAAGGGCGTTTGCGAATGAGAGAGTCACTTGCGCCACAAACAGCGCAAGCTGCATTACAGCGAATCCTTCCTCACCCGTGCAAGAAACAGTACACTGCTGTTATTCTCATGCCGCAGAGATCTCGTTTGGATTTCTTTCATCTATCTTTAAATCACGATCCGAGACCCCTTACATCCGTGACACCAAGGTCAGTGTTCATCTGTTCTTTGTCTTGTCTCCGTATTGTAACATTGCAATCATTAAAAATATGAATTTGTCTCTTTGGTTACTAGATTTTGGCGGGCATTGCGGGTTTGGGTGTTCTTGTTTTTGGCATCTGGAGATACTCTCGCAAGTAGAATCTGAACTCTCCTTTGTTTTGTTTTTTTTCCTTTCAATTTTCTGATTTTTTAACCTCAAAATTTCAGAGTTTTTTAATGTATAAGTGAACCTCAGCGTTTATTATGTAAGTTCCCATTATTTTTACAAGAAATTTATAAACACAAACTTATTTGTTTGCTATACATTGTTTGTGCCATGACTCCCATAGTTTTTTCGACTTTTGGTTTATGCATTGAGACAGGAATAAGCTAAATCCTTCTCTTCAGCTAGCTCTCGTGCAGAGTCATCCATTTTCTCCCTCGAAAACGCGTCTATACTTAGTCCTTGTACGATCTTCCAACTCCCTTTCTCACAGATAACCGGAAACGAGTAAACCAAACCGGGTGGTATACCATATGAGCCGTCAGAACAAACACCCATAGAAACCCAAGTTCCTTTAGGGGTTCCAAGGAACCAATCACGGATATGGTCACAGGCTGCGCTAGCAGCGGATAAAGCACTTGACTGTTTTCTTGCTCTTAGAATGGCTGCACCACGTTGCTGAACTTCTGTAATAAACTCGTTCTTCAGCCAGTTGTGATCTGTAGCAAGTTCTTTATCGGTCTATCTCCACTTTTTGTAGAGACTGTTGCGTGATTGGTGTCTGGATATTGAGTTGAAGAATGGTTTCCCCAAATGATCACGTTCTTCACGCTGCTTACAGGAACACTTAGCTTATCTGCAAGCTGAGCTAGAGCTCGATTATGGTCGAGCCGTGTCAGGCAAGTGATGTTTTCCTTCCGGGATCGATGGAGCAAACTCTTTTAAAACCAAAGCATTCGTGTTTGCAGGGTTTGCTACAACAAGAACCTTGCAATCCTCTGATGCATAACGCTCTAAAGCAGAAGCTTGAGCTTTATATATCACTACATTTTTCGACATCACGTCTTTTCTTTCCATGCCTGCAATTCTTGGGAATCCGCCAATCATTATAGCGATATTCACATCTTTACATGCTTCAACAACATCTGTAGTCGCGATAACACCTTTGAGAAGAGGGAAAGCTGAATCTTGAAGCTCCATTTTCACAGCTTCTAGCGAACTTGAAGCTGGTTCTATATCAAGTAAATGCAGAATCATGGGCTGATCTGGACCTAGCATCATACCTCTTGCAATCATTGGAGCAATTGCATATCCTATGTTTCCTGTTCAATACAAAGTTCCGAATTAAATTAAGAACAGACCATAAAGACACAGGAGTAGATATAAAACGACTCTAATAAAAAAACCGAACCAAACCAAATAAATTGATAGAATCAGAAATCAAAATATAAACCGGACTGTCTATTGTTTGACTTTTACCTGCTGCACCGGTAATCAAAACCCTCATAGGATCTTTCTCAATGTTTAACAAATTACACATGTATATAATCATTTCCATGACAAACCAACACAAAACAGTAGAACCAAAACTTTCTGAATCACAAAAGTATAATCAATTTCTTCTCCAACGAACTCCATTTTTTTCAAGTAAAATATAACCAAAGCAACGAATGGATGTTCATTGCTTTCCAAAGTTCAATTATAAAGCCAAAAAAACAAGAAGATATAAGGAATCTATGAAAAGCTTCAAAGAGGACATAACCTGATACTTAACAAAACTTGGTCTTACAAAAAATCTAAGTCATACAACAAAAACAAAGAATCTAATATCTACGAAAAGGAACGTAGCCAAATAAAGATCCTCAAAAACGTTTGGGCCTTTAGTGGGCTACTAAAATATGAAAGCGTAAGAGGAAAGTGCCAAGGGTAATAATAGCACAAGAAGTAGGCCCATTAAGGCCCAAACAATTAATTTTAGGGTTAGCTCAAAGTGCCGCATATATATGCTTACTTCTCTTCCTTCGTCCCCTTTCTGTCTCTCGGCGTTCTTCAATCCAAAGGTACACTCTTTCTCTCTCAATCTAGCTCAATTCTGCTTCCTTGATATAACAGTGAACAGATCTGTTTGATTTCCGATAAAAAGAATCGATTTTGAAGTGATTTTGGTTGTGAATAATCGCAGGTAAGTGAGTTTGAAGAAGTAAGTCACAAAGAAAGAGAAGATGTCTGAGAAAAAGGGAAGGAAAGAGGAAGTGGTGACCAGAGAGTACACCATTAACCTCCACAGACGCCTTCACAAATGGTAAGCTTTCCCTAAACCCTAATTTCTTATTTGCACGATGTTAGATTTCACTCTTTGTGTTCATTTTTTGAGCTGTTTGATAGGTTAAGTTCATAGGGTTGTTGTGAAAGTAGGTTACTTTCTGTCATATTATAGTTACAAGACTCTTAGACTTACTTTGGTATGATAAAGTTAATCTTTTTCTAAATGTAATCAGACGTTTAATCCATAGAAAGAGTTCATATACTGATTGTTTGTTTTGGATTCACATTTATCGAAATATAATCTTGAAATGGAAGGATATAGTTCATTGGATATATCTTATAAACCAGAATTAAGATTTAGAGTTTGGTTTGTGGAATGTGTAATTTGGTGGGTTTGGTGTTATGTGATTAAAGAATCTTTACTTATGTATTATTGATTTGTAACAGTACCTTTAAGAAGAAGGCACCAAATGCCATTAAGGAGATCAGGAAGTTTGCAGAGAAAGCTATGGGGACTAAGGACGTTAGGGTAGACGTGAAATTGAACAAGCAAATCTGGAGCAAGGGAATCAGAGGTCCACCAAGGAGGATCAGGGTTCGTGTTGCACGTAAGAGAAACGACGACGAAGATGCAAAGGAAGAGTTCTTCTCCCTTGTCACTGTTGCTGAAATCCCTGCAGAAGGACTCAGTGGACTTGGCACAAAGGTCATCGAAGAGGAGGATTGAAAGAGTCAGTAGAACAAGTTTTGTTGGTTTTTTACTTTTGTTGCTGTGTTTCAATTAAAAGTCTTGACCTTTCACTTTCTTCATTGTAGTGCATCTTGAATTTACTTATGCAGTTTATTAAAGAGACCTATTTTCTTCTAGATGATTGGATCTTGTTTTGTTTTGGAATTTTCTTCATGCTTGTTAATTGTCGAATCTCACATTTACACAAAGTAGATCGTATGGATGATATGTGCATCAAGTTATGCTAGATGTTGTCCACTATATGGACATAGTGACCAAAATTTGAAGCCTAAATAAAATAACTAGGCTTAACTATGAATCAAGAGCTGTTGATAAGATGTCTTCGGCTGAGAAATGCAGCTGTGTTTACTTTCTCTATTTTCATGCTCGGATCTGTTTAATCGTAACTTCTTAAACAAGCATGGGACTATTTGATTAGGGATGAGCTTCTGAACCAGTAGTTTACAAGGCCACAACCCACAACGCAGAGACATACAAATTGTAGTTTACCACATAAAAACCAGACGATAGATTGTTCGAAAACAAGTTCCACATTCAAAGAACAAATACAAAAAACCATAATATGCCGACTCTTAGATCATTTTCAAGTTTCTATTGTGGAACATATCTCATAAAACTCAAAACCCATAATATCGTTCTGATCAGCGCAAGATTGATGAAGATTTCAAGCGACGAGCATGTTTGAAGATAAAACTCAAGAAATCCCTCTCTTCCGGTCCTCCCATGTACCCGGCAAACTCGAAAGTGTCAAGACTCTTCAACAAACATTTAGTTTTCTGCATCTTTGAACTACTGATTCCCGGAGTCTTGACCTTTCACTACCTTCTTTGTAGTGCAACTTGAATTTGCTTATGCAGTTTATTGAAGAGACCTGTTTTCGTCTAGATGATTGAATCTTATTTTATTTTGTCTTTGCCTTCTGGAATTTTCTTCATGCTGGTTTATTGTTGAATCTCACATTTACACAAAGTAGATTGTAGGTACCTTCTTAAATGATAGATCAATATCTGAAAGAAAAAAAACAGAGAACCAGATGATACAATTAACAAGTTTTGTTCGAAAACAAGTTCCCACATTCAAAGAAGAAAAACAAAAACCATAAAATGAGGACTCTTAGATCATTTTCAAGTTTCTAATGTTGAACATATCTCATAAAACTCAAAACCCATGATATGGTTCTGATCCGTGCAAGATTGATGAAGATTTCAAGCGCAGAGCATGTTTGAAGATAAAACTCAAGAAATCCTTCTCTTCCGGTCTTCCCATGTACCCTGCAAACTCGAAAGTTTCAAGACTCTTCAACAAACATTTAGGGACATTGTTCCAGCGAACCGGTTTATAATCCCCAAAATAAACCGGTTTAGAATCCTAAGAGTAAAAAGAAAAGTAAAGGTTAAAACTACACTATAGTGTGATTTTAGACTGCAAAGAAGTCGACGAAGAAACTTACATCATCAACGAAGAGATTGAGGACTCGCAGGTTAGGAGAATCTTTGAGCAACTGGACAAGTAACTTTGACCAATCATCGCCGCATATACAAATCTTCAAATTTTCAAGCCGATTGAAGACAATACCATCACAATACACAGTCTGCACACATGACAAACATAGTAACAAAGGATTCAAGATCAAGAAAATCGGATTTTGTGTTCTAAGTGAAATAATGAGGTAGAAAACATGAAGTTGACATATGGAAACAGATGACCTCTCGTGGACTGTTGCATATTACGCGTAATGAAAGGCGTTTGAAAAATGTAACTGATTCAAGAAGCCTCTCGGGACTCTGCAGAACAACGATATCTGCCTCTTCCAGCTCTGGCATATCCTGGATCAAATAGTAGATATGTTCTCTATAATCAACAACTTTGAAATACTTGAGATTAGGGGTAAATATCGCATTTCCATCAGAAGAACATAGATGGGGCATCTCTAAGGATAAACGCTGCAAGGACGAGACCATAACAACGAACACTTTCACATTGTCATTCTCAGCTCGTATAATACTCAGATCTTCCAGAACAGGGCAGGAGGATAGAAGCAGTCGAAGAGAATCTTCATTTGAGTACCTCAAGCGTTCAAGTTGCAAAGTTTTCAAGGAAGGGAAACAAACCGTTGGAGGAACATCCACAAGAATGTTCCTGCCTTCAAGTTTCAAATTCACTAGCGATATTCAGTTATACAAACTAGTGGGCAAAATCACAGGAGGTTCGTTATAGACAAGAGAACAGCCTATCTCTAGCTCACGCACGCAGCGAGAAGCTGCAATTCCAACCCACGATTTCAAATCCTCAGACTGAAGTGATCTATATACAGAGTAAAGGAGCAAGCTTTCTATGATAGGAGCTTTGTGTAAGGGCAGATTCTTGTCAATAAAACCCGTCAATGATGCAGTATACTCTAAACGATCACCAAAGTAGAACTCGAGTTTAGGCAACCACATCCAAAGAAACTCCCATTGTTTCGACAAAACACTAGTTGATACAGCAACTTCTGTTGGAAGAAACGATAATATCTTAACAAGCAAATCATCAGACAAGTCACTGATTTTGGCCATATCTTTTACAAACCCAAGATACCAAACTTGGGGTTTTCTAACCCTGAAAACAAAAAAACACAAGAAAACACTATAAGACAAAAAGATTTGTCGGAAGCCAACAAAAAAAAATTAGTAAAAAAAAGTGAAAACAAATCCACAACAGAGGAACAGAACAAAACCTAGAAATTCCAGGTGATGAGTTTTTTTTTCCTGTGAAAGATGGATTTCTGCTCGGGGACCCAAACTAAGAAGACAAATCATGATAAATTGATGAGAGTAAAGTACACAAAAGTGTTTAGGAAGAATTATAATAGACTCTCATAAGAATAATTGTACAAGATACATCGGTATATATAGAGATAAAGACTAAACCTAATTTCCTAAATTAAGATAAACTTAAATGTAAAATATACTTTAGAGATAAATGTAAATATTCCTAACTAAGATATGATAATCTTCTTGATCCTTCTCGATCTTCATGATTTCCATATTCTTGAGCAATCATCTCAACCGTCGATCTCGGTCGATCTCCGGTTCCTCCAATACCCCCCGGCAAGCTCATACGTGGTAACACGTGTGAGATTGGACAAATCTTCAAAATAGCGGCTTTATACCCGGCCGTCGGGTCATCGACGTTTATACCCGGTCGTAGGGTCAAAGCGGCTACAAAACCCAGCCGTTGGGTCATCGACGTTTATACCCGGTCGTGGGGTCATCAACGGTGGAAAATACATCTTTCGTAGTTGTGTATCTCCATCGATTTAAAATCACAAGTCTTGGTCGCTCTTCGAACATCTTGTTCATGAAGAAACTTGTGTCGGATTTAAATTCATCACCGCCGGATCAGCATCGTATCCATTGGAGTCATCAAAAGCCTTGTGGCTCACATTAGTATAAACGCCATCATCATCTTCTTGTCATTAAGAACGTGATGATAGTCGAATCATCTTCATAAAGACCACATAATGGTCACTTTCTTCTCTCACAAGAAAACACAAGTACGTGTTCTCTTCTTCTTCTTCTTTTTTTTTTTTTTTTTTTTTTTTATACATCAAGAAGTAAATAGAAAAGGAAATCAAAAGAGCATGTTTGATTTTCCAAAGATGAAAAGTAGTAAACCAAAGAGACGAATCTCAAATCAACAATTTTTTTTTTCTTTTTTTTCTTTTTCTTTCTCATAGTTGCGGAAGCAAAGAAAACCTTAACCCATAGGAGTAGGATCAAGGCTCTGATACCATGATAAATTGATGAGAGTAAAGTACACAAAAGTGTTTAGGAAGAATTATAATAGACTCTCATAAGAATAATTGTACAAGATACATCGGTATATATAGAGATAAAGACTAAACCTAATTTCCTAAATTAAGATAAACTTAAATGTAAAATATACTTTAGAGATAAATGTAAATATTCCTAACTAAGATATGATAATCTTCTTGATCCTTCTCGATCTTCATGATTTCCATATTCTTGAGCAATCATCTCAACCGTCGATCTCGGTCGATCTCCGGTTCCTCCAATAAATCAGAAGCGCCCGAATAGCATAGAAGAAAGCATTTGTCGAAACTGTATATACATTTCAACTCTGAATAGACTTTGAGTGTTTATGAGCTAGAAATCGAGAAATGGTAGGATCTAAACAAATATTGAACCTAGAAATTGAAGGAGAGTGAAGAAGAAGGAGGTGGCTTATCACAACTCATCGGAATCGCAGAACTTTGTCGTCTCCATCCAAGTAGAAAAAGAAGAGCATCGTTCTTGCCGTCGATAAGTCATCACCAGTCACCACCACCGTTTGGCTTCCATTTAGCAAATCGTTTAATTTAAACCTTAATGATATAAATCTCTGATGGGCCTGGTACTGGGCCAGTCTCCATGTTAAACTCTTTTCTTTTTTCACTGAGGAAATGTAGATTTAAGGTTGGAAACTGATATTGCATATGCTCTGGTGATATTTAATAGTATTCAAATATCCATTTAGATCATATATTTTTAGACCCGTTTTAAAATTCATGTTGGAATGATATACATGCACCTTTTTTTTTTTTTGCTAAGAGAGTAAATGTCATATAAAATGAACATAGTTTGGAACTACATTGTGGTTACCTAGCTTTTGGACCTAAAGCAGGAACGAAGAAGAACGAGAACCCTGAAAAGGCTTGCTTCAATTCATTTGGAAACCTAAATCCGGTCAAATTGGTATATAATCAAAGAGAAAGAAAAAAACACTCTAACGGAGACGGATTTAGCTCGAGTCAATCCGCCAATTTGACACCCTAAGATATGAGACAACATATCAAATTTTCGATTAGTGGTAACTTGTTAAACAAGCATAGGACTATGTGATTCAGGTTGAGTTAACCCTTTGAGCTTCTTAAACTATAGTTTATGAGAGTATTTGAGCATATAAGGAGACAGAATGTTCCACAACATGAGTTTGTTGTCTTCATTGAAAAGAGGCTTGAGTCGCAAGGCACACACATATACAACTTGTTGACCAGACGATAGAATGATGGCCAAAAAAAAGAAGAGACGATAGAACTACAACATGAAAAGAAGGCACAAGTTCCACATCTAGTTAAATACCTCTGATTCTTGAACAACAAAACAAACCTAAAAATCCTTAAAACGAATACAAATAACTATTTAAAGGGAGCATAACATGATGATCAACCCAATATTGATGTAGATTTCAAGCAACGAGCATGTTTGAAGATAAAACTCAAGAAATCTCTCTCTTCTTGTCTTCCCTTGTACCCTGAAAACTTGAAAGTTTCAAGACTCTTCAACAAACATGTTGGAACGGAGCTCTCATGATTATTGTCCCAGCTAACCGGTTTATAACCCACAAAATATGACTTACTCTGAGATTAAAAAGAAAAAGAAGAGTTAAAAAAACTACACACCATATTGTGCTTTTAGACTGCAAAATAGTGGACGAAGAAACTTACATCATCAACGATGAGATTAAGGATTTGCAGTTTAGGAGAATCTTTGAGCAACTGGACAAGTAACTTGGACCAATCATCATTGCATATAAATAGCTCTAATTTTTCAAGCTGATTGAAGACAATACCATCAGGATACATAGTCTGCACACACCACAACATAGTAACAAGAGGATTAATTCAAACTCAAGAAAAATATAAAAACTTGAAGTTGACAGATGCAAACAGAGACTACCTCTTTTGCAGAGTCGAATGCTAGTCGTAATGAAAGACGTCTGGAAGATGTAACTGATTTGAGAAGCTCTTTAGTACTTCTCCTAATTATGATATTTGCCTCTTCCAGCTCTGGCATGTGCTCAATAGAGAAACTTTCACTACAATCATCTTTAACTTTGAAATAATCAAATTTGAAATACTTCAAAGAAGGGGTAACTATCACACACCCATCAGAAGAACATACACTGTCAAGTAAGGATAAACGCTGCAATGAAGGGACATTAATAACTAACACATTCAAATTGTCGTATCCAACTCGTTGAATACTTAGATTTTCCAGAATAGGGCAGCATTTTAGAAGCAGTCTAAGAGAATCTTTGTTTAAGTATCTCACAAATATAAGTTCCAAGGTTTTCAAGGAAGGGAGGAGACAACCCTTGGGGGGAACATGCACAAGAATCTTGAAGCCTTCAAGTTTCAAAGTGACTAGCGATTCGCAGGTATACAAGCTACTTGGCAATAACACATCAGGCTCTTTATATATAGGAAAATAGCTGATACTTAGCTCAGGCACACATCGAGAAACTGCAATTCCAACCCACGATTCGAAATCCTCTTGTTGAAGTGATCTAAGACGAATTCTGAGACGCAAGCTTTCTATGATGTGAGCTCTGTATAATGGCAGATTCTTGTGAATAAAATCCTGAGAAAGGTATGAAGATATTGGACGATTGATGTCAGTATCGTCATGATAATCATCAAACTCTAGTTTTGGCAACCACATCCAAAGAAACTCCCACTGTTTGGACAAAACGCTAGCTGATACAGCAACTTTTGTTGGAAGAAACGATAGTATCTTCATCAGCAATTCATCAGGCAACCCACTGATTTTCGCCATATTTTTTTAGAAAACCCAATACAATTTTACAGCGTAAAGGATTTGTTAGAAATCAACCAAACCAAGTGAAAACAAACACAACAGAGGAACAGAACAAAAACCTAGAAATCCAAGTGATGAGTTTTCCCTGTTATAGGAATCACATAGCTTCGTTCGGGTTCCCATTCAGAGAATGGGCTTTAATGACGAGGCCCATAAATATCTAAATCTATAGTGGGCCTGGGTCTAAGCCGGGATTCAGGTGGAGCTCTTTCAATTAGTACAACCCATTACTGAAAGAATCCGACCCGTTAATATTTTGCACGACCCGGAGATTAAGATGATACTAAAAAAAGACTTGGATCCAAACACAACAACATCCCGTGACCATTCAGGTGACTAGTATTGATGTTGTTTATGTAAGAGCTTAGAGCATGTATATGGGTGATACTCATATAGTATCATTAGGAATTTTTTAGTATTATTTATAATGTTTGTTTATTGTTTGAGATTTTTTTATGATACTCTTACTAAATATGTTTGCATTGGTGAGACCGGTTTAAGTATCATAAAAAATAAAAAATGCAAAATGAAAAATTAATATATTAATCCTAATTATTGATCACGGTGGTCTTGTTTATAATCGATGCTCGTTCATGGTTTGGAACTACAGTATATATGGTTGACAAAAAGAAAGTTACACTTTGCTTATTCATTATCTCAGTTAAGCTAGTTCTTGTTTTAATAATGTTCTGTTTAATCGACTGGTTGGATTTTGTCTTAGTTCGCCGATTAGCTCAGTAACGTATACGTTAAGGGTCAACTTTTAATAATTGATAGCTTTTTCATCGTTACCATACCAACAAACTTTAGATAATCGGGTTAATAACACCTTTAAGCCAAAATAGTAGTATCATAGGATCCAATACCAAACGAACAAGACAAAAAATCAACCAAAGGGTTTTTAACCTTCGTGACCATAATAACTTGTAGTTTCTAGAGAGAATGGTCACGATAAAAACAAGTCTGCAATTCCTAATGCCGAATACTCCTTAACCATTCATATCACACAAGCCCTAAACCCGGAGGAAGTGTCAGGCCATAGCACCACCACCTCTGCCACCAGTCTGATGGAGCATCGCATCGATCTCATCACCGTCCTCCATTTCAAGCTGTAGAATTCAAGAATTATTAGCATCAGAAACTATAAACTTCAAAGGTAAAAAAAAAGCATGTAGATTGAATGTTATACCTCATCAGGAGTTTGCTCAGCACGCAGACGACGGCCATCAAACAAGAAAGCAATGGAGTTCATGTCCACAGATTGCCGGTCACAGTAAGCATTCATTAGCTTCTTCAGCTGGGTGCTTCTCTTGATCCTAAAGAACACCTCGTTTCCATCCTATACACAAACATATACAAGTAACAATATGATTCTGATCTTGGTGAAAAGACATTGTCAATAAAGGTTAGAGACATCATATGAAACAATAACTAAATCTCATAGCTCTCTTTTGATAGTAACATGAAACACTCTTTAAGTACATATCACCAGTTCATTCAATGTAAGGCTTTGTCTATGAGAATTCCAAGCACACACATCAGCCAAAGCATTTGAAAACTTACTACAGAGACTACAACTTCATCAGAAGATATATACATTCAACAAGTTGCTATATACTCAAAAGGATTTAGCTTGATTCAACTTTTCCCTTCTAAAAACTAGGAAACCCTCAAATAATAACAGCAACCACAAGTTTTATAGGCAACTTATACCTTAAAACAAAACAAAAAGAAAGACCGACTAAGACTGAGCTAGTAGTGCGAAACCCTAGATTTACGAAACCAGAAAGCAACCAAATAGGAAAGAAAAACCCTAATCGCAGCTACACGAGACCTTGAAATCAGAAACCCAAATCGTCACAAGGATGAGAACAGAAAGAGAGATACCTGTCGGAGGAGAAGCGGAGGGAGGAGAAGCGGAGGGAGCGACGGCAGGATCTGCGGAGGGAGCGACGGCAGGATCTGCGGAGGAAGCGACGGCAGGAGAGGAGAAATCGAAATCGTCGTCGAGGGTTTCTGGGATTTCACGGGAGAGAGGAGAGAAGAGAAAATGAATTTTTTTTTTTTTTTTTCTGTTTCGGCAAAACGAATTTGAGAACCAGTAATACATTGCCACGTCATATGATACCCAGTATCAAAAGTATCACTCCAGTGATACGGATCAAGCCCAAAAACAATGTTTGGTCTATTAAAAATTATTTTCTGGGCTTCTGATACCCATAAAGTATCACCTATGTTATGTATTAGAATCTTATGTTTTTTAGTTCTTTTCTTGGCTTTGTTATGTAAATGATAATGGCTGAGTATCCTTTCTTTATGATCGTGAAATGTGAATCATTAATGTGTTAATGATTCTTCTTAATGATTGAATCTTGTTATGCTCTTATTGCTGGAATTTTCTTCGATGCTGCTTCATTGTTGAATCTCATATTTACACGTAGTTGATCGCAGGGATGATCAAGCTGAATCTGAATATCAAATGATACTAGATGTCGTCTAATATATGGACGTAGTCACCAAAATGTTTAGCCCCAATGTTTGAGCTCTTGAAGAGACGAATGATCTAAAACAAGTTCCAAATTCAGATTAAAACCTAATTGTTCTTGGATAACGAAACAAATACAAAACCCATAATACAAGGACTCTTAGATCATTCTCAAGTTTCTATTGTAGAACATAACATCACCTGTGCAAGATTGATGTAGATTTCAAGCAACGAGCATGTTTGAAGATAAGACTCATGAAATCTCTGTCTTCTTGTTCGTCACTGTTGTACCCTTTAAACTTGAAAGTTTCAAGACTATTCAAGAAACATTTTGGAACGGAGCCCTGATTTTTGCCCCAGCTAACCTGTTCATACTCCCCATAAATTTCACGGAACTGAAATTTAAAAAAAAAAAAAAAAAAGAAGAGTTAAAATCACACCAATACACCATATTGAGCTTTAGGCAAAGTAGTCGAAGGAGAAACACTTACACGATAGACCTCGAGATCGAGGATTCGCAGGTGAGGAGAATCTTTGAGCAAGTGGACAAGTAACTTTGACCAATTTTCGCTGCATATATATACCTTCAAATTTTCAAGCTGGCTGAAGACAATACCATCGGGATACACAGTCTGCAGATATATAACAAAAGAAATCAAACTCAAGAAAATCAGATTTCGTGTTCTAAGTGAAATAATGGAACACTTGCGGACACATGGAAACATGTTACCTCTTCTCCACTGTTGAATGTCATGCGCAATGTAAGACGTTTGACAGTTGTGATTGATTTGAGAAGCCTTTCAGTATGTTTTTCAACATCTAACATTAGACTGATATTTGCCGTTTCCAGCTCCGGCATATGCTCAATCAAACAGGAGCTTTCACTTCTATAATCATCAACTTTGAAATACTTCAAAGAAGGGGTAACCATCACATACCCATCAGAAGAACAATCTTGGTCTATAATTAAAGTTAAACGCTGCAAGGATGGGACAATGATAACCAACTTTCTCACATTGTCATAGCCTTCTTGGTCAATAAACAGATCTTCGAGAACAGGGCAATAGGATAGAAGCAGTCGAAGAGAATCGTCGTTGGAGTATGTCACACATCCAAGTCGCAAAGTTTTCAAGGAAGGGAGACAAACCGTTCGGGGAACATCCACAAAAATCATCTTGCCGTCAAGTTTCAAAGTCACCAGCGAGTTGCAGGAATACAAACTACTTGGCAATGATACAGCAGGTTTCATTTTAGGAGATAAATGGATACTTAGCTCACGCACACAACGAGAAACTGCAATTCCAACCCACGGTTTCAAATCCTCAGGTTGAAGTTTTCCATAAAGTGAGCGAAGGCGCAGGCTTTCTATGATAGGAGCTTTGTGTAATGGCAGATTCTTGGCAATAAAATCCCTCAAGCATGCACTAGACTCTGAACGATGACTAAAGTGGAACTCGAGATTAGGCAACCACATCCAAAGAAACTCCCAATGTTTCGACAAAACGCTAGTTGATACGGCTTTTTTTGTTGGAAGAAACGATAATATCTTCACCAGTAATTCATCAGACAAGTCACTGATTTTAGCCATATCACTCAAGGACCCAAGATAATGTAACACTCTACCAAATTTGGGGTTTTCCGACCCTGGCAAAAAAAAGACCACAAGAAAACAAAACCTAATTAAGACTAAAAGATTTGTCTGAATCCAACCAAACAAATTACAAAACAAGTGAATACAAAAGTAAGGAACAGAACAAAAAACCTAGAAATTCAGGTGATGAGTTTTTTCTTTTGAAGATTCGGTGGAAGCTCGATTTCTGCTCGGGAACCCAAAATTAAAATCGGAAGCGCCCGAAGAACTGAGAAAGCAATTTTCGAAACAGTAAACCCATTTCAACTCTGAATAGACTTTGAGTGTTTGTGAGCTAAGAATCGAGAAATGGTAGGATCTAAAACAAAGCTTATACCTAGAAATTGAAGGAGAGTGAATAAGAAGGAGGTGATTTACCGGAAGTTATCGGAATCGCTTGTCGTTCTCGCCGTCGATAACTCACCAGTTACCACCACCACTCATCAGACCGTTTAGCTTCCATTTAGCGAATGGTTTAATAAAAGAACCTTAATGATATAAATATCTGATGGGCCTCTTACTGGGCCAGAATCCATGTGAAACTCTTATTGAAAATACTAATTTCCCTCTTCATGATTGAATCTGACAATCTGTTGTGCTCTTATCATTTAGACTTTTCTTGAATCTTTGCTGTTTAATTGTTGAAAATCTCACAATTACGAAGAATTGATTGTATGGATGATCAAACTAAGATGTCTCAAATGTTTAAAGATGTGGCCTAATACCCAAATTTCAAAGCCTTTGAATTAAGAACTGAGATGTAAAAATGCCCTTGTAGATACAGATGTGATGAGCAGGGAACCTTCTCTACGCTCATACTCGGACCTGTTTTGTTATAAACAAAAAAACAAAAAACTCTCTAAGATAGACGAATTTAGGTTTGATCAATTCGCCCATTTGATACCCTAAGATAAGACAGTATCAAATTTTCGATTTAATGTTAACTTCTTAAAGAAGCATATAGGACTATGTGAAGTTAAACCCTTTGAGCTTCCAAACTTATAGTTGACGAGAGTACTTGAGCATAAGGAGACGAATGTTCCACAACCTGAATTGGTTCTCTTCTTTGAAAAGAGCTAGACTTGAGTCACAAGGCACACACATACAAGAATGTATATGTTAACATCAGACGATAGAACTACAACGTGACAAGAAGGCACACGTTTTGTTCGAAAAGAAATTCCACATCTAGTTAAAACACTTACTCCTGATAAGCATATAATAATACGACGACTCTTAGATCATATTCAAGTTTCAATTGTGGAACATAACATCATCCGTGCAAGATTGATGTAGATTTCAAGCAACGAGCATGTTTGAAGATAAGACTCATGAAATCTCTGTCTTCTTCGTCCTTACTGTTGTACCCTTTAAACTTGAAAGTTTCAAGACTATTCAAGAAATATTTAGGAACGGAGCTCTGATTTTTGCTCCAGCTAACCTGCTTATACTAAAATTTAAGCAAAAAATGAAAAATAAGAGTTAAAATCACATCAATACACCATACTGAGCTTTACGAAAAGTAGTCAATGGAGAAACACTTACATTTTTATCGGCCTCGAGATCGAGGATTCGCAGGTGAGGAGAACCTTTGAGCAAGTGGACAAGTAACTTTGACCAATTTTTGCTGCATATATATACCTTCAAATTCTCAAGCTGGCTGAAGAAAATACAATCGGGATACACAACAGTCTGCAGAAATATAACAAAAGAAATCAAACTCAAGAAAATCCGATTTCTGCTCTAAGTAAAATAATGAGATTGAAAACTTGTGGACACATGGAAACATATTACCTCTCTTACACGCAATGTAAGACGTTTGACAGTTGTGATTGATTTGAGAAGACTTTCAGTATCTTTCTCAATATCTCCCATTACACTGATATCTGCCTCTTTCAGCTCTGGCATATGCTCAATCAAACAGGCGCTTTCACTTCTGTAATCATCAACTTTGAAATACTTCAAAGAAGGGGTAACTATCACATACCCTTCATCAGAACAATCTTGGTCTATAACTAAAGTTAAACGCTGCAAGGATGGGACAATGATAACCAACTTTCTCATATTGTCATCGCCTTCTCGGTCAATAAACAGATCTTCGAGAACAGGGCAATCAGATAGAAGCAGTCGAAGAGAATCATCGTTTGAGTATGTCACACATCCAAGTCGCAAAGTTTTCAAGGAAAGGAGACTAACCGTTGGAGGAACATCCACAAGAATCTTATAGCCTTCAAGTTTCAAAGTCACAAGCGATTTGCAGGTATACAAACTACTGGGCAATAATAAATCAGGTTCTTTATAGAAATGAGAATAGCTGATACTTAGCTCACGCACGCAGCGAGAAACTGCAATTCCAGCCCACGATTTTACATCCTCAGGTTTAAGTGATCCAGAAAAAAACCTAAGGCACAAGCTTTCTATGATGGGAGCTCTGTGTAATGGCAGATTCTTGTCAATAAAATCCCGATATGTCTGTGAAAACTCGGAACGTTCAGTAAAGGTATCGTACTTAAGGTTAGGCAACCACATCCAAAGAAACTCCCATTGTTTCGACAAAACACTAGTTGATACAGCAACTCTTGTTGGAAGAAACGATAATATCTTCACCAGTAATTCATCAGACAAGTCACTGATTTTAGCCATATCACTTAAAGGACCCAAGATAATGTAACACTTTACCAAACTTGGGGTTTTCCGACCCTGGAAAAAAAAAAAAGAACCACAAGAAAACAAAACCTAAGACTAAAAGATTTGTCTGAATTCAACCAAACAAATTACAAAACAAGCGAAGACAAAGTAAGGAACAGAACAACAAACCTATAAATTTCAGCCTAGGAAGCTCGATTTCTGCTCGGGAACCCAAAATTAAAATCGGAAGCGCCCGAAGAACTGAGAAAGCATTTTTCGAAACAGTAGTAAACCCATTTCAACTCTTAATAAGACTTTTGAGTGTGTGTGAGCTAAGAATCGAGAAATGGTAGGATCTAAACAAAGCTTGAACCTATAAATTGAAGGAGAGTGAAGAAGACGGAGGTGGTTTATCACAAGTTATTGGAATCGCAGAACTTTGTCGTCTCCATCCAAGTAAAAAAAAAAGAGCTTCGTTCTTCGCCGTCGATAATTCACCTTAATGATATAAATATCTGATGGGCCTGTTACTGGGCCACCACTATTCATGTGAAACTCTTTTTTATTGAAAAGACTCAATTTTTTCTTCATGATTGAATCAGTTGTGCTCTTATCATTTGGAATTTTCTTGACTCTTTGCTGTTTAATCTGTTGTGACTCTTTGGAATTTAGTTTGATCGTAGGGGTGATCAAACTAAATCTGTGTCTCAAATGTTGAAAGATGTGGCCTAATAACCAAATTTCAAAGCCTTTGAATTAAGAACTGAGATGTAAAAATGCGCTTGTAGATACAGATGTGATGAGCAGGGAACCTTCTCTACGCTCATGCTCGGACCTGTTTTGTTTCTACAGAAAACAAAAAAAAACTTCCGAACATAGACGAATTTAGGTTTGATCAATCCGCCCATTTGATACTCTAAGATAAGACAGTATCAAATTCTCGATTTAATGTTAACTTCTTAAAGAAGCATATAGGACTATGTGAAGTTAAACCCTTTGAGCTTCCAAACTTGTAGTTGACGAGAGTACTTGAGCATAAGGAGACGAATGTTCCACAACCTGAATTGGTTCTCTTCTTTGGAACAAACTAGACTTGAGTCACAAGGCACACACATACAAGAACGTATGTTGACATCAGACGATAGAACTACAACGTGAAAAGAAGACACACGTTACTTCTGTTCGAAAACCAATTCCACATCTAGCTAAAACTCGTACTCCTGATAAGCATATAAGATCACCGCTGATGTGACGCATGAGCTGGCAGGAACAGAGGAAGAGATTTGGATGAGCTGGAGTAAGCAAAGACTTGGAATCATCCAGCAGGTTTGCCGCGAAGGAGTGAGTATAAAGAGTCATTGGAGTGATACGATTGATTATGCATTGTTTGATACTGTGAGCGACGATGTGTTGCTGTGATTGAGAGTTATGATCTAAAGATGTTCTATACGCTCTCGTGTAAACAGTGTATCGGATCTTGTGGTTAAGGAATAAGAGAGATTCATAGCTCTAACCGTATCAACTCCTTACACAACAAGACAAACCTAAAATCCATAATTAGTAAATAGAGTGTTTGATCATTTTCAAGTCTCTATTGTGGAAACTTAAGCAAAAAAAAAAAAAAAAAATCTCTGTTGTGGAACATAACATGATCACTGCGAGATTGATGAAGATTTCAAATGAGCAGCATGTTTGAAGATAAAACTCAAGAAGTCTCTCTCTTCTAGGCTTCCTTTGTACCCTTTAAAGTCGAAAGTTTCAAGACTATTCAACAAACATTTAGGAACAGAGCTCCCTTCAAGACTAGTCAAACCGTGGAAATTAAAGTCCGGTTGATACTCGCCAGATTGTATATCAATCTGAGACAAGGGTAGGACAGAGTTAAGATTACACAATACAGTGTTTGCGCCACTACTAATTTAGTTCCACTTACTGAGTCTTCGATTAGATTATATATATAAAAAGAAACTTACTTGGACGCAGATATTGAGGACTCGGAGTTTAGGTGAATCTTTGAGCAACCGGACAAGTAACTTGTACCCATAATCGTTGCTTATACATAGCTTCAGATGTTCAAGATGATTGAAGACAATACCAGCATGATACCCGGGCTGTATACGTGAAAACGCCACAGATTTAGTGTTATTAGTAAATATAAAGCAAAATTGAAAACTTGGAAGTTTATAGATGGAAACAGAATACCTCTTCCTTGCTGTTGAAGTCTACTTGTAATGAAAGACGTTTGATAGATGTGATTGAGACGAGAAGCTTATCGGGATTTTGCTTAACATTGATATCTGCCTCTTCCAGCTCTGGCATATGCTCAATCAAATAGGAGAGACAATCTCTAGAATCCAGAAGTTTGAAATACTTCAACGAAGGTGTAACTATTACATACCCATCATCAGAAGAACATCCACTGTATATATGAATAGATAAACGCTGCAAGGACGGGACAACAACAACTAACGCTTTCACATTGTCATTACAGCCTCGTTCAATACTCAGATCATCCAGAACAGGGCAATGCGATAGAAGCAGTCCAAGAGAATCTTCATTCAAATATTTCACCCATCCAAGTCGCAAAGTTTTCAAGGAAGGGAGACTAACCGTTGGAGGAACATCCACAAGAATCTTATTGCCTTCAAGTTTCAAAGTCACAAGCGATTTGCATGTATACAAACTAGACGGAAATAATACCAGCTGAGATTCAGACCAGAAATTAAAATAGCAAATACTTAGCTTACGCACTCGGCGAGAAACTGCAATTTCAACAAACAGTTTGATATCCTCAGGTCGGCTTAAAGCAAAATTAAATTTGAGGCGCAAGCTTTCTATGATGGGAGCTCTGTGTAATGGAAGATTCTTGTAAATAAAATCATGATACACCAGAAGTGAAGACTCTGTATGATTGCTATTAAGATCTTTGTAATCATTGTACTTAAGGTTAGGCAACCACATCCAAAGGAACTCCCATTGTTTGGACAAAACACTAGTTGATACAGCAACTTTTGTTGGAAGAAACGATAATATCTTAACGAGCAAATCATCAGACAACTCACTGATTTTAGACATATCAGAAACCCAAGATACTGTTACAATCGACGGAACTTTGGTTTTTCCGAAACTGAAAAGAAAAATTTAAGGAAAAAACAAGAATACCGTGAGTCTCAAACAATGCCACACCAAGCCGCAGAGACAAAACCCTAGAAAATCCTAACTCGCCAATAACTATCGAAATCTCTAGTGGGGCTAGGCCTGAGCCGGACGGCCCATACCCCATCAGGCCATCACTGAAAGAAACAGACCCGTTAATATTAGTCTGACCCTAATCATAGTTTTTAGAGATTTAGGAGCTAGAAGAAGACGCTTAATTCCTAAAACACTTACTCTAGTGAAAGTAAATTGCGGCAATGAAGATGGATAGAGAAGATGGTAGAACGACGAATCAGCTGAGACCACTTGCTTTTTATGTTCATCGTCCTCATGACTCTGCTTGTTGGACTCAAGGTACATATTTGTCAAGGACTCAAGGTACATATTTGCCCACTTTCTTAGCTTTCTTCAGTTTTTTTTTTCTTTCTCAAATGCGTTTGAAACGACGTCTCAAGGAGCAGCAGAGTAAGGTGTCGATGATTTGAAGCAGATACAGTCGCAAGAGCAAGCAAGGAGGAAGAAAATGTCTAGAGCACAAGATGGGATCTGAAAATATATGTTGAAGATATTTGTAAAGCTCAAGGCTTTGTCTATGGTATTATTCCTGAGAAGGGTAAGCCTGTGACGGGTGCTTTGGTTAATTTGAGGGAATGGTGGAAAGATAAAGTTAGGTTTGATCGTAATGGTCTAGCTGCAGTTTTGAAGTCATTTAGGAAGGTATGTAATAAGCTTTTCCCGTGTGACATAAACGCAGCATGTGCAACATTTGTAGATGTAGGGATATATTCCTTTGAAGAATCTTGCCGGTAATTCTATATTTTCAACTTTAATACTCTTTTATGTAATTGCTCATTCATCGATATCTTTCTTTTGTATTTCATCGGTTGCTACATGTTGTCTGGTTGATGATGGATATGTCATAATGGATCCAAAAAAGTTTGAAGAAATGGTTAATTACAAAACCTTATTTTTACTCCATTGTTGTTTAATGTTTTAGCTAGTTTTTACTTACTTGGAACTGTAATGTAACACAAAACGACGGCTCTCGCTTATTTAAGTTTTCAAAACTCGATTCTCTCGGTTCTTCGGGAAGGAGAAAGCGAGGGTATAGAATATGGGATCATTACATCAGTTACATATGGAGTAATGTCAGGTACTATTAATACTCGGTTATTCAATGAGTTAGTTTCTCAATCTTTAATATTTTAATTTTTGTAACGTTTCAGTGTATGGTTACTTTCTATGTGTAGAGATTGGTCGTGCTGCGAGTAATAGTTTTTCTGCATTTTTCAAAAAGAACTTCCAACAAGCCAAAGAGATTTTCAATCGGGATAACCGAACAAAACCAGATCCATAGAGATAAAATCAAAAGTCAAAAACCATACAATTTTCATTTAACCAACTTTAAAAGTAAACTAAAACCAAGTCGGTTATCAAAACCAGACCAGCTAATAAAAAAACAATCGAAATTGTGTTTGTAAATGGTGTGAAGAAGAGGAATCAAAGATCAGCTTTTCCAGGATAGCGAGGGAAAGGAATAACATCTCTGATATTATCAATTCCTGTAGCGAACAGAATCATACGTTCGAAGCCAAGTCCAAATCCACAATGCTTCACTGTTCCATAACGGCGCAAGTCTAGGTACCACTCATATGGCTCTATTGGTAGACCCATCTCCTCAATCCTGTTAAAACACCAGATTTTGCTTCATGAACGATCACAAAAGAACCTAAAAAGAGCCAAGAAAATTGAATATTGGTTTCACTTTCACACACCTCTTTTTGATGACATCATATCGTTCTTCCCTTTGGCTTCCACCAATGAGTTCTCCAACCTAATTTATACAGAGAAAAAGGTAAGGACAGAGGCCGTTGATGTGTTTCGTCGATGATGAATCACACACAAATAAAGGTATTATGAGTCAGTATTATGCAAAGATGATGAGTTTTAATATTACCTTTGGAACGAGGACATCCATGGCTGCAACAGTCTTCTCATCGTCGTTAAGTCTCATGTAAAAAGCTTTGATTCCTTTCGGGTAGTTATAGACAATAAGTGGCTTTTGAAACAAAACCTCTGTCAAGTATCTGTAATTGTAAGACAAATCTTATTAATAACCATTTCTTCAAAGTGATTAAAGTTGAGGAATGGTTTTTAAGGATTATCACAAACCTTTCATGCTCCGAGGCTAAGTCAATTCCCCACTCAACGTTATTATCAAATTCCTTTCCCTTAGCCACAGCTTCCTCAAGTAGCTTTATTGCTTCAGTGTATGTTATACGCCCAAACGGAGTTGATTCAACCAATTTTAGCCTGTCAATGCATCCTGAGTCGAAATTCTTAGCCATAAGTTCCATGTCATCGTAACATTTCTCAAGCAACCACTTGCACATGTATTTCACAAACGCCTCTGCACAGTTCATGTCGTCCTACACAAATTTCAAATAAGGTTTCTAAGATACTGAGTCTATATTACAATAAAGAAGAAACCAAAGAATATCTTATGTTTATTACCTCTAGATCTGCAAAAGCAATTTCCGGCTCAACCATCCAGAATTCAGCTAGATGCCTTGAAGTGTGAGAGTTCTCTGCCCGGAAAGTTGGGCCAAATGTATACACACTGCTAAGAGCACAAGCATAGGTCTCCACTTGTAATTGCCCCGAAACTGTCAAGAAAGCTTGACGGCCAAAGAAATCCTTGGAATAATCAACGTTTCCATCTTTTTTAGGTAGTCCAGGCTTAAGCTTTGACCTCTCTTCAATATGAGCAAAACTCTCCTTTGCTATTTTAAGTTCAGCAACAGCAGCAGTGATCTCTTCCTTGCTTGCTTTGGCAGCTTTCAGTTTCGCTACAACATCACCTCTCTCCTTAACAATGAGCCTCGCAGCTTCAACATCAGCCTCAGTAGGCGGAGGGTTATCAATGAGATCCTGCTCCAACTTCTCAATGTAATTGATCAAGGTTGTTGCTTGGAACATTTCACCAGCTCCTTCACAATCACTTGTTGTAATGATAGGAGTGTGAATGTAAAGGAAACTATGTTCTTGAAAGAAACTGTGTGTCGCAAATGCAAGCGCATTACGGATTCTGGCAACTGCAGAGATCTGAAATCACAAGCATATATCTTCATAAATCAACTATTCAATGATTCAATCAAACCCAGAAACAATCAATCTGAGTGAAAGAAATGAGAAGTATTACCGAATTAGTCCTAGAACGAAGATGAAGCACATCTCTCAAAAACTCAAGAGTCAACTTAGTCTTAGGAAGTGGATACTTAGTCGCATCCACAATTCCAACATCAATCACCTTCACAACGCTAAGCTCAATCTTCTGCTTCGTACCTTTACCTTCCGGTGGAACCTTCAAAACTCCATCAACAGTAACACAAGTTCCCGTCGCAACCAATTTGGAGAGATCATATAAAGACGAATCCACCATAACCTGAAGATTCGCTGGGCAAGATCCATCGTTAACCTCAAGGAAAGCGAAAGCTCCTTTCCCTTGCTCTCTTCCGGTTTTAACCCAACCACCGATACGAATCTTCTGACCGGCGAGTTTAGCTCCGCCGTCAGGTCGATCCAAAATGGTTCGAATCAAAACCCGGTTAGAAAATTGAGCTTTTTGCACCGTGGATCCATCGTTACCCAAGGATACTGCGGCTAATTGACTCGCCGGAGGTACAATCTCATCAGCCATTGTTCGTGATCAACGAAACCAAAAGCAAGGAATTTTGGAGGCGTTTGAGATAAAACCCTAAATGAGAAGAGGTTTCAGAGAGAGTATTTTTGGCTGTGTATTGTGAGATGTAAGAATAACCGTTGGATCTTCCCTTTATATATCGTTAGATTGTGGAAATTCTCTAGGGGTAAAATTGGAAATTGCCCAAAGATTCCAACGAAGAAGGTGGAATCTTTGATTCGTATCTAATTTAGCTACAGCAATTAATAATTCGAAAATATTGCCTTTTATTCAATTAGTGGAGTCGTTATTTATGGAAAACTACTGTTATTGAAAAAATATTAATGGAAAATGTTATTAAAATGATCTTACAATAAAAATATTTTTTCCAAAAATCTTGGGTTTATATCACGCAAACGAGATTATGATAGAGATGTTTTTTTCACCTAATTTGATTATTTTTTTACCTATATTGTCAACTTATGTTAATATGCGCTGACTTATAGATGTAATATTTGAGGAAGCCCAATAATAACTAAAAGTATGGGCCAATAAAGCCCAATAAATTTCGGTGTCGGGGTATAAATACATATCATCATCTTGGAAACCCTAATTCTGAGATTTCGCACGAACTCATTTCAGCTTCTCGCAGCCGTCGGAACAGAAGAACAAAAAAAAGAGAAGTTAATAAATCATGGGTAAAATCCTTCGCAAGCTTCTTTTATAGAATTGGTTTTGATTTTTCTTCTGATGTGGATCTGTTAACGGTGATTGTGTTTTAACGATATCAGGAAAGGTTCATGGATCTTTGGCTCGTGCCGGTAAGGTTAGAGGACAAACTCCAAAGGTTGCGAAGCAAGATAAGAAAAAGAAGCCTAGAGGTCGTGCTCACAAGCGTTTGCAGCACAACCGCCGTTTCGTCACCGCCGGTAATTTTTCCGATCTATATACTTAGCTGATTCCATTACGGTGTTAGTGTCTATTTGTTAATTCGATTTTCATAAATTGATACTCTTGCATTGTTGAATTTAGTTAATAATGTTGTGAATTTGAATAAGAATTGTGACTAGTCGAGATATATGTTACATGACAACACTTGTGAGCTTCTGAATATATATCATTTTGTGTTGACTCAAATGCTTATTACATTGATTTTTGCAGTTGTTGGTTTCGGAAAGAAGAGAGGACCCAACTCTTCTGAGAAGTAGAAGAAGGTAGAAAAAGATGCTGTCGTGATACTTCTTAAGGTCATTTGTAACTTTGAGGAAATTGTATCATCTTTTGTTTTCTTGGGCACCGAACTAGTATGTTTTGATTCTATGCAATGAAATACTGTTTTTTGTCACTTCTGATTTTGTTCAATTTAAACATATAACTTTGATTTTGCCAATTTATTACAACAAGATTAGCCTATTATCTATAATTCGTGTTCTAAGATTCTGCCAATATGTTACACAAACATAATAAAGGTTCTGAATTTGCCAATTGAAATTGTTCTGTGAAATACGATTTTCATCATTTAATTGGGAATTCTATCACCAATAATACTTGCAAGGATTTTGTACGATAAAATATTATTCTATGGAGTGTTAACTTCGTACTTCTGAATTCGAATCAATAACCGATGAGGAACCTGTCTAAAACCAAGGTTGACAAGGATTAGAGTTCGTCATGAGAGTCTGAGACAGAACCTTTAGAAGCTTTCTCTTTGAGGTACTGTACTGCCATCGATGCATGGATTGCAGCACCGTAAGGAAGCACATCCTCGTTGATTCTATAGAGTGGTGAATGAGATGATGCATAAGCGTTGGTCTCATCTTGCATTCCCAGGAGTGAGAAATGGCCTGGGATTGTTTCTGCAAAGTATGAGAAGTCCTCCGATCCCATTACAGCTGCTGCTTCCTCAAAAGATTCTGGACCCAACAAATCTCTAACCACCTTCTTGAATTGCTTGTACAAGCCCATGTTGTTCACTGTTGGTGGCATCGGTTCTCTACCGTTTGGTGTTAGATTAACAGATGCATTGCATCGGTGAACTGCTGCTTGCTTGGTAATCACCTAGAATCAAAAGTTGAAACCGGGGATTGGTTCTATGGTAAAAGTAACAATACCGGGAAAATCTAAAAGGTGCAATCTTGGATCGCATCACCTCTTTGATTCTTTGTTGAAGCTGAGTAAACCCGGTAAAGGCTCGGACGGTTCCTCCTATGGTGATTGAATCAGGGATGACATTGAACGCGTTGCCTCCATTAACCTTAGAAACTGTAACCACCTGCAGAAGAAACCTTAATGAGTTCTACAAAGCATAGACCAGGTGTGAGATCAAAGAGTAAAAACGAAACCTTTGAATCCAAAGGGTCAGTTTCACGTGAAACCAGGTGTTGAAGACTGAGGACGATGCTTGAAGCTGCAACAACAGGATCTATTGTATGCTGCGGGATAGCAGCATGACCTCCTTTCCCGGTGATTACAGCCTCGAAGACTCCAGCTCCAGCCATAAATGAACCTGCACGTGAAGCGGCTTTCGCAAAGGGAATCCGGGAGGAAAGATGTATCCCGAAAATAGCTTCAACGTTCTTCAAAGCTCCTTCTTCTCTCATCTTCTTTGCTCCGCTCAAACCTTCCTCAGCTGGCTGAAAGATAAGCACCACAGTTCCCTAAACAAAACAAAAAAAATGTGTTAGGCCAATGTTACTGATGAAAATAGTTTAAAAGGGAAATGCATAGACCTGCAAATCGTGGCGATGTTCTTGAAGTATTTTTGCAGCACCAAGAAGCATAGCAACATGACCATCATGTCCACAAGCATGCATTTTACCAGAGATTTTGCTCTTGTGCTCCCACTCTACCGCTTCCTAAGGATCAAATCAAATTATGTTCTAATCATTCATTCAAATTCCATCATCAAGTTTCAAACTAAAAGACCAAAATCATAGACCTAAATGTATCTAATCGATTGGTAATACACCTGAATAGGCAAAGCATCCATATCAGCTCTCAGGGCGACGAACGGTGGTTCTCCCGTGCCGATATATCCGATAATACCGGTGATAGCTACTGGATACCTATACTTAATTCCGATAAGGTCAAGCTCCGACCTAATGAGCTTGCTGGTTTCGAATTCCTCGTAACCAAGCTCCGGATTCTCGTGGATTTTCCTTCTGATTCTCACCATCCAATCGAAGACCTCTGGACTCTTCGCAGATTCGAGGAGCTTCGTCGGGATTTGAGACACATCTCCGGCGATCCATGAAGATTCCGATGAAACAGGAAGTAGAAGGAGTAGTTGGAAAGTCAAACTGAGGAACAAAAAGTTGCTTAGAGCCATGGAGGAAGATGACAACGAATTTCTGATTTAACTGATGCGCCACTCAAATATATATATGAGACTGACATAAGTCCACAAAGCCCGATTTTTAATGGGCCGCAAAGCCCATATATTTTATGAAAGGCCTAAGTTGTTATGTTCTGTTTAGCCTTTGCAATAACTTCAACATCACATAATGTTTTTCTTTGATTTTTTTTTTTGTGTCTAGCTTTGATGTCGTAATCTTCTTCCATCAGAATTAAAGGGAAATAAGCAAATGACGTCGAAAGACAACTTCTATTAAGCAAATAGTTATGTTATTGTAACAACTAACAAACTAACAACAAAAAGATATTCCAAATTAACTGATTATACATAGACGACCAATACCATTTCCTAAGTGATGTTTTGATTTGTCTTTTAACAATGCTAAAATATTTGTTTTCACTCAAAGTCGAAAGCATGGGGGTGTGGAAACCAACATGAATTGTCTTCTCCACATAGCTCTAAAGTTAGTTTGTTAATTAGTTTGGAACAGAATCAAAAGAAAAAACGTAGAAAGACAACCAATTTATTACTCCATGAGTTCCTAATAGAATAATGTTTTAGTTTTCACACAAATTTTTTCTAAAAAAATTCTACATTTTTATTATTTATTTGTTAATTGAATAATAGTAATTCCAGTTTTTTTTCTTTCTTTATTGATAACAAAAAAAAGTAATAATGATGTCGATACAAAACATCAATTTTTATGAAATATTAAAAAAAAAAAAACTCAAAACATCAATCTATTGGGAATAGAGGGAGTATATTATTGTTGCACATGTCCAAAATTTACAATATTCCAAAATTCGAAGGAAAATAATACGTAAATAGTATAAATGGGGAAAAATCTAAAAAGTGTGATGTAATAGCTTTAAAATGGGGAAAGTTAAAACAGTGATATAAAAAGGTTAGAAAAATAGGAACGGTTAGAAAATTGAGAATCTAATTATAATTAAAACTAATTCTTTTAATCATGCATGCATAAGAACTCTATTGGACATGTGTCTATGATAATCCATAAGAATATCACATAGAAGTTAATGATCTACTATATCTATTTCTGAAAACACATGTCCCAAATCTGAAAAGGAAGAAAATATGTCATAAAGCTGACCAATTTCAATAGAAAGAGTAAATGATTGGTATATTCAAAATTTGATAGAAAAACGCATTAATTAAAACAAAAATTTTCTAAACTCTTGTATATAAATGTTAACAAATACAGTATTTTATCATTGCATGTAGTTATAAATTTATATTGTTTTGGTCAAAATTGATTTTAATTTATGAATTTTGCCTTTTTAAGGGGTGGATAAATCTTGGATTCTAAATATTCCGTGGTCAAAAGACTTGGATTTCTCTCTAAATATAGAGGAAAGTACTTATCGTCTCCTAAACCATCACCACTACAAATACCCTTTTGTGTCTCCATCAAATTACATCTTTTCCTAGACATTCTCTCTCGATCTTTAGTTTTCGCAACTCATCTTCTTTTTTACTTTTTTTTTTTTTTTTTCTGAAGATGACTATCTCCGTCGAAAACCCTGTTTTTGGTAAAAACATTTATCTTCTTTTGGTTAATCTTTTTCTTTTATAAATTTATCTTGAATTTGCGTGAAAATAATAGTTTTTGTTACTTTTTTTGTTTAAGTACATGAGGACTCTATGACGCAAAAGGAGACCGGAGAGTTACGAATGGACAGTGGAATTCCAATGTCGAAGATATCATCTGATGATGAAGTGTTTTTGGCTCCTGAGATGAACGCATTTGGTCGTCAATTCAGGTTCTTTTTTTTTTTCAGAAAATAGTTTAGACTATTTCTATTAATATTTCTTTTTCTAAAACATTAGATTTGATTGATGTAAATTGTTGCAGAGACTACACGGATACAAATAGCGAGAGGCAAAAGAGCGTCGAACATTTCTATAAAACACAACACATTAACCAAAGTTTGGACTTTGTAAGATCTCTTATCTATTACTAAATTTAGGGTTTATTATGTATATATGTAAATATATGATCAACATAATATATAGTTGAGTCCTATATATTTGCATTGGACGTGATTTATGAACTACTAATGAAAATGAAAATCGTTCCTAACGATGTTAGCCAAAATGAACATATGATACATATTTGAGTATTGTTGTTTCTCATATTTATATTAAAAAAAAATGTTATAAACTTAATTAAACGTTTGCAGGTAAAGAAAATGAGAAGTGAGTATGGAAAATTGGACAAGATGGTGATGAACATTTGGGAATGTTGTGAACTATTAAACGAAGTGGTGGACGAGAGTGATCCCGACCTCGACGAACCACAAATTCAACATTTGCTTCAATCTGCGGAAGCAATCCGTAAAGATTATCCTAACGAAGATTGGCTTCACCTCACTGCTCTTATCCATGGTAACTAATCGTTCTTTATGACCAAAACAATCATGCTTATTATAGCTATACTTGATAATTACAAATCAAAATTACCATATATAAGAATCCTAAGAATTACTAAAATTAATGACTGAATGTCCAGATCTTGGGAAGGTTCTTACTCTACCACACAGTTTGGAGGGCTTCCTCAATGGGCTGTTGTTGGTAAGTTTAATTTGTGATTTCCTTTCAATTATGGAATATAATCAATTAATCTAAAAAAATCAATTAATATTGTTTTCTCAATTAGTAAACTTATCAATTTCAAGTAACTTATGAATCCTCTATCCAAACCTGCAGGTGACACATTTCCTGTTGGGTGTGCATTTGATGAATCTAACGTACACCACAAGGTACATATAACTCAATATATTTTGGTCATTAATCAAAATATTGAATTATTGATAGTTTATTTTTCTCCTTGGCATCCTCAAAATATTGATAGTTAGAATCTATATTTGAATGTGTTTACGAAACAAGTGATTTATATAATTATTTTTTTTCCATTTTAACCTTGATTTGCAGTATTTTATGGAAAACCCTGATTTTAACAACCCAAAGTATAATACCAAAAGTGGAATTTATTCTGAAGGATGTGGACTTGAGAATGTTTTTATGCCATGGGGACATGATGACTACATGTATATGGTAAATTCATGAATTCATTACTATAATTTATGAACTATATATAATAATTATGATTACAATGATTCACAAATGGTTAATAATATGTTTATAGGTGGCTAAGGAGAATGGAAGCACCCTACCATCCCCGGGACTATTCATCATCCGATACCATTCCTTTTATCGTAAGCACAATAAAGACTAATTAATAACGAACTAAACACTTAATTAGTAACATAATCTGATTGATTAATTAAACATTTATATATGTGGTTAATGTATGTAGCATTGCACAAGGCTGGAGCTTACACTCACCTTATGAACGAAGAAGACAAGGAGAATCTCAAATGGCTCCATGTTTTCAAGTAATTAATTTATTTCTCTAAATAAAAATCTTTCTTAATTAATTAAACCCGATTTTTACCCCAATGATCAGATTTTAATACTTATATTGTCTGTTTTATTATATAGCAAGTACGACTTATACAGCAAGAGCAAAGTACACGTTGATGTGGAGAAGGTTAAGCCGTACTACATGTCTCTTATCAAGAAAGTGAGGATCTTTACCATTTGATTTATTTTTGTATGTTGATTTATTTCTTAATTTTACTATTTAATAATTTTGTTTGGGATTTTTTCAGTATTTCCCGGAAAATCTGAGGTGGTGAAAACTGCATCAAGGCCGTCCAAAAAAGTCTACTATTAGAAAGATAAAAATGGTGTGTGAGAGTGTGATTGATTAGTAGTCGTTTAAGAACTGGAAAGCATTATTGCCCAGTTGATAAAGTTGTATTGTTACATTAGCTAATGTTAATGCTAATGTTGATACAAACTATTATTGTATCCCGTCTGTTCTATTATAAATTAAAATATAATTTTCTTCTCTATTCTTCTGACTTCTGTTTTGAAAAATTTCATGATGTATCGTTCATGTCTTATTTTCTTAGTCTTAATTTTTTCATAATTTTAGTGTGAAAAAAAAATATACAAGAACAAAAAAGATAGGATCAACGTAACGAAGATAACTTCATTCATTCATTCAGATTTGGAAAATGCAAAAAGGATTACAAAACTAAACATCTAAAAGAAAACTAAACTTTGTGTTTTGTGTTATGCCAACAAAGGGCAAAATCGTTAACAATTATTTCACTTTCGCCTAAAACGGCATCGTTTTCAGAAACGCCTGAGTAAATATATTTGCCATTATGCTCTGCAACTTCTTCACTTGGTGACTTCTTTAGTCACAGGAGGAATATCGACAGCTCCGTCGTCAAGAAGCGGTGTTTCTGGCAACTCTTTCTTCTCTTCAGATATATCCTTAGGCCCCAAGAAACTAGGCTGGTTCGTAGAAGACAATAACCTCGCCCACATTCTATCTGTAATTACTACATTGTTCTGTGTCTCTGTTATCCTCTGCAACAGAAAGACAACCAAAAAAAATGACACGATTGAGAATTGCTCACAAGTATAGGACCAAAGGTTCAGAGAAGATTCAGGACCGTTCCGCAAGACCAAGGGAACAAACAGACTAGCCCAATGTAAGGTCTTTAATCACAATTGGGATCAATCCCGCAAGTCAAAACTCGGATTGAAAAGCGAAAACACATTTGATGTGTCAGTAACTTACGTAGTAAGGGATGTATGTTTGTCTTCCATTGACAAGACCACTGGTGTAGCCAGTGTAACCAGCCATTGCACCATGAACCGCGCTCTGAGCAAGAAGTGTACAGTAAACATTGTCTGATGCATTACTTGGAACAGCCCGGATCATGTATGTAGGATCAATGTATTTGAGATTCATCACCATCTTATTCTTATTAAAATAATCCTACAACCAGATGAAAAAAACAATAAACACTATGAGGAAATTTTCTGTAAAAGGCATAAGACTATCATGATCTTGAAAGTTTTAAGTCTTACCTTGATGCTTTGTGATAGCCACAAGCCGACATCTTTAAGAAGTTTGTTCCCAGAAGCATCCTTAAGAGTAGAGTCCATGCTTTTGCACATCAAATCCTGTCCTGCACCTTCAGCAAGAACAATCACCATGTGACCATTTTCCTTGAGCCGTCTCTCTATGAACTCAAAGAGTCCACCTTCTCCTTCGAGGTAAAATGGTGACTCAGGAATCAAGCAACAGTCAACATCTCTGCTGGCTAATGTAGCATACATCGCTATGAACCCTGTAGTAAATCACCGCCTAGCCTTAATCAGTAACAAATCGAAAAGGTCTTTTAAGTTGTATGTTTCAAAACAAAGACTTACCGCTGTAACGACCCATAAGCTTGACAAAGCCGATACCATTCTCATTACTCTCAGCTTCGACATGTGCTGCGTTAATTGCTCGTTGAGCTTCCTCCACAGCAGTGTCAAACCCAAAAGATTTGTCTATTACCGGAATATCATTATCAATAGTTTTCGGAATTCCAACCACAGCAACTTTAAGTCCACGTCTTCTAATTTCCTACGTGGTTATAGACAATCTAAGTTCAGTTGTTGATTGTTAAAACTTAAAACTTACAACCGTTATACTGAAATATCACAATTGCATTACCTCAAATATTACTGAAGCACCTCTCTGGGTTCCATCTCCTCCAATAATGTAAACCTATATAATACATGACTACATCAAGAATAGGTTGACAAAGTTTTCATATACAAAGTTAAAACCTGTGGCTGTATTTCTTCCCGAACCTGATTAATTCCTCGATCTTGAATACTATCAACTATCTTCGTGGTATCGTGTCCACCTCTTGAGGTCCCGAGGATTGTTCCTCCGCGTTTATGGATATCATTCACGACTTTAGAGTTTAAGGGGATAGTGTTCTTGGCGTAGAATCCTCTATATCCACCCTGTAAGATTTCAACAAATGAAAGCATAAGGACAATAGTCGCAAAAGTTAAACTCAAATGAAGATTAATTATGATTCACCAAACTTACATCGATTCCAAGAATTCTCTTCACTCCATACATGTATGATAAGCTGCTCACAATTTCTCTAATCACGGTATTGAGACCAGGACAGAGACCTCCACATGTAACTATGCAAGCATGCACTTCATCAGACTCAAAGTAAACCTTTTGACGTGGACCAGCGCGCCTGAAATGGATTCCTCTAGGACCATCCTTGTGAACCACAACCTGAATAACACGAAAACAAAACAGAGGAAAGAAAAAGAGAGCATTTTGCTGTTAAAAATCTTCAAACACTATTCTTCAGACAATTCAGGTTGATGATTACCTTCTCAGGGACACTATCATCTGCATCAACAAAGTATTGCCTGATAAAAGAAAAACAAAAAAACATCCAAATGAGAACAAAAACTATGAAGTTTAAACAACGGAAACTTCTGAAATAGGTGAAGATACTTACTTAACCACTGAGTAAGCTGGATTGTCTTGCAATGGATTCGGATAAGTCTGCAAAAACATCAAAAACGTGAAAAGAATCAGCCATTTAATTCAACTAAACCATAAACAGATCAAAACAATGAAACCCAAAGCCAAAGATTCCTCCTTTGTTAACTAAACGCTATCAGATTCGATCTCTTTGTGTAAATCAAGAAATTTTCAAAACAATTTAGCAACAATCAGAGATCAAGTGCAACATACAGGAAGATCAGGAAGATAATCAATGAGATGAGGAACGTCTTGTAGCATATAACCACCAGGACCGTTGACGATCTTCGGCTTATTACTTCTCGGACTAGACATAACGGAGAAGACGATCAACAAATCAGATCAAACTCTCTCCACGAAGATGAAATCTCGAACACAGCTTCTAACTTCGTCAATGGGGAAAAAAAAACAAACTTTGAATCAAACCCGTTGATCCAATATACTTGATAACCCAATTTTGTAGGCGAGACAACAAATCAGAAGAGGTAAGAGAGAGAGAGTGAGAGACCAATAGAGACGAAGAAAGTTCTAGCTTTTTGAGATTGGGAATTTGATCGAACAGGTGGTGGGCATTAAAAGTATTTGAAGAAAATTTAGTGAAAAAAAGAATATTTTTATATACATACACACACATTTACATGTATGTATATGTTAATTGGGTACAAGATTCTCGTGTATATATATAAAGCTGACGATCACGGAGGCAAAAAAAAAAAAAACGAACGTTGAAACTTGGAGAAGATGATTCACTTTCTTCTAGAACAAGACTTTATTTTAAGTTTCCATTTATTGACATCGATTAATTTTGGGCCTTGGAAAACAAGTTCTCAATTTTAATATGATTTTTATTTTTTCTTTCAATTTTTGTGCTTTTTGTGATATTTTCACTATTTCAGATCTTTAGGAATATTCCGATAATTAAAAAAGAAGAAGAAAGAAGAATCTTTTAAAGAGAGAAAGACAAATCCAATTTTGTGTCGGCTAATCTCTATTTTATGTGTTGTGTACTAGTTCTATAGTTTTTATTTATTGCTGGTGACAAAGAGATAACAATATATAATAATTTAAAAAATGAAAATAAGAGTTGACGAAAAGCTTATTAGTGTATAATGCTATCAGATGACATACTTGCTTAGTCGTTTTACATTAAAAAAATGGATATATATGTGAAAAATATATATATTTTTGAAAACAGCTTGCGTAATGGTAAATATGTAATCGTATGAATCTTCATAATGTAGAAATATAATGTTTATTTGCCGGTCGATTTCGAATCAGAATCAAAGTAGCAAAGTTGTATTAAAACTTGCCGTTATTTTCTGTTTCTTTAATATGACTCTCTCTCGCTAATCTCTTGCAAACAAAATTTGTAGTTTCCTACACATATTAAATATTTGTTTTTCGTAAACTAAACGTTACATAGTTTTCTGCCGTAAGAAAAGAAATGTATTTACAGTTGGATATGAAAATAATTTCTGAAATTTTTTGGAAAATATTGATCGATCTTCTGCATTAGGTTGGATATGAAATCAAATTTCTGAAAAACGAACAAAATGAAGCTAAAATGGGCGATTGTGAAAGCCCAACATTAGTTATAGGTTGATAAATAGGCCATTCTTTGGCCCATTAATCAATTCATAAGGCCACTAGCCAAGTTTTAGAAGCAAAAGTTGAAAAAATAGCACTTCGTTTTTGAGTGAAGTGTACAACACCAAACTTAGGGCATCATCAATGGGGGATCATGTGAGGGTGTTCTTATAGAGAATATAATGTTAAAATAATGTAAGATCATGTGTTTAGATCTTTTGTTTAGAAGTTGATTAGTGGGAGAACATGTGTAAGATCTTAAGACTTAATAATATAATAATCTAAATTAAATTAAGATTTTACAATTATTAAAACATTTAAAAATAACATATAAATTGCAAATGCCAAATTTATGAAAAACTGAAAATAAAAGTGAAAATACAATACTAAATATTTATGAAAAAACATTAAAAATATAAATAACAATAAACAAACAAACATATTACTTAATAAAAGCACAAAAACATTTTATCTAATTAATACATAGTTTATTATCCAAATTTATTCCAAATATGTTGAATATTCCAACCAATGCCCAAATGCCACGTCACCCCGCAACACCCACAAGAACAGATCCAGGTCAAGAGCCCAGTTCCTGATCTTAAGCCAATTAACCCATTTTTTTGGATTTAAATAATGCTTAGATCAGGGGGGGTGATCCCCCAATGCAGATGGTCTTACATAGTTTGTGTTTGCTAGATAACGGACTAGAAAAAAAAACTAAAAATATCATGGTTTATTTATTTTCTATTTTAAAAATTAATGTATATTATGAAACACTAAACCAAAAAAATTAAAAATGTGTCAATGTGTACTTGTGTTTTCATACAAAATTAAATAAGCACATTATTGCTCGACACTCGTATCAATTTTTTAAAAAAAGTCATATATACCCAAATAAGGGATGTTTATGTTCTTGAACACCTAATGTTTACTCTCTTTTTTTTCCTCTTTTCAAAGAAAACCAGAAAAAAATACGAAACCTAATAAATTAATAGTAATAATCATTTAGATAAAATTAATGATGACCGTTTGATCTGTTTTGTTCAAACAAATCTGAGGATAGGCCCCATCTCCCGACATCATCATTGGACCCACATCGACCACTGGGTTCAAATCCCCCAAGAATATTATTACATACTATACTATATGTTTCCTATTTCAAATAATGTGAAAGAAAGTAAAAAGAAAAAGATTCTTAAAAACATGTGTTTGCCTTATAATCCAAAAAGATTATCCTTAAATGCTTTGTTTCCTATGTTATGATCTTTTCGACTTTTCCTGCGTTCTTTATTTTAAAATAATAATATGCTTCTGCTAAATTAACCCGTAATTATGTTCAAATATACAAAAGATTAGAGAAGGTAACAAATTTTATATTATTAAAATGTATGTAAGAAATATTAAGATAAAAAGTAAAGGGAATTAATCAAAATTTGGTGCAGTGTGTTCTGTTTTCTAAATAGCTCTTCTCTTTATTTTAAACACAAGACCGAGATTCAACAGTTAATAAAAGCAAAAGATAATTTAAAATTAGATTTTAATCTTTTTGAGAAAAGAAGGCTTTACATCTTTGACTACAATTAAAACTTCAATCAAATTATAAATTTTATATTATACGTAATTTTTTCATATTGCTCAAGAAAAATGTTTGACATAGTTAGCTGTACAAATTAAAGCCTATTATAATACATACCATTATCACCTAGGAATATGAATACACTTTATATAACTAAGAAAATATAAAACAAAAAGAAAATAAATAAAAGGTTTGGTCAAGAGACTGAAGAGTCGCACAAGACAAGAGAGAGTAAAATTAGGGTTTTTAACCTTTTCAGTCTCAACTCCTTTTCTTTCCTTTACTCTTCGTCTTCCTCATTTCTTCTTCATTTCTTTATCTACTTGACATAGATTTTTCAGTACTTAAAGTCGTATCTACATGTGTTTCTGTGTCTCTTCTGGAACCAAAGACAGATATTAACAACAATAATTATAATAATAAAAAGCATAAATCATAGGTTATTAAATTTTCTCTACTATATATATTAAGATCACTCCCGTCTTTATCAAATTCTTCTTTCTCTTCCATTTTTCCAATCCAATCGGTCTCAAGTACAGATCTGGTAATCTTGATATTTGTTTTTACTTCTTCTTTTCTATTGTCATGTTTTTAAATTGTCTATGTGTTCATAAATCTCTAGCTCTACATATATGTATATTAATGACATCAACTCATCTTATCAATTTCTTTCTTTTAGCTTTTAATTTCGGTAGATCTCGTACTGTCCTACATTTTGTCTTTATATTTACTAACTAGTTTGTCTTCTTTTTTATTTTATGCTTTGAATCGTGTTCATATTTGCATCGAGCAATATCTTTGAAAACTTTACTTTTTTCATAAACTGCAGATCAATTTCTCATCAATCATTTAGCGATCAAAAGGAAATGAAGAATAGTAAATGTAACCTCATAGATTCAAAGCTCGAAGAACATCATCATCTTTGCGGATCAAAACATTGTCCTGGATGTGGTCGCATGATTCAAGCTGCTACTAAACCAGTAATATTCCGTTACACCTATATATAGACATATATAAGTATATAACCTCATCAAAACCCCCAATAATAAAAATAATTAAAGGATATCCTGTCACTTTTTTCTTTCCTTCTTTAAAATTGTTCTTCTTCATTAATCAGCCTTCTTTTGTTCTTTTCTTTTTTAAAGAATTGGGTTGGATTGCCGGCTGGAGTGAAATTCGATCCGACAGATCAAGAACTTATAGAACATTTAGAAGCAAAAGTGAAGGGAAAAGAAGAAAATAAGAAATGGTCATCGTCTCATCCACTTATAGATGAATTTATTCCCACCATTGATGGAGAAGATGGGATATGTTACACTCATCCTCAGAAGCTTCCAGGTTCATTTCTATTCTTTAGATACAAAAAACTCTTGTAGTTTGATCTAGATTATCATTTATCTGCATGGAACGATATATAGTACTAATGAATATCTATTGTTTTTATATTTTGAAGATTAATGAGAAAATATTTTGTGCTTTCCATATACGCAATTTAGAAATCACCACTAGCTCCCTTATATTAATTGCATAATTATTTTTATTTTTTTAATTTTTATTACATAGTTATTCATATAAGAAAAACTTAAGGGAGTAGTGATTTCTAAACTTTAGAACAATTAATTCACATTTCTCTGTTGTATATATTATAATGTAAATTACCCTTTTAAAAATAAGATCTCTAATATGGTATATTATAAATCAATTAAAAGTAGAAATAAATTTGTTTTGAGGCATCCTATATTGAATCGATATTTTTAGTGTAACCAAAATAAACAAAACTTTTCAAGAAACTTATTAGTTATTACGGAAAAGAAAAGAAATGCGCGTTTTAATTAATCTAAAAATATTAATAACACAATTAATCAATTCTCTGCTTAATTTCTTTTTATTGGATAACTTCTTAGTTCACACATATTTTATATATTTATGAATATGTACTAAACTGTGCATGCAAGTTTAGTAATATTGGGATCTTGGATAATGTTTGGTGACCCAACTTTGAAAAACAAGTTTCATCATAAATAATAACTTGTTCATCTTACATTAATTTTCTAGAAATTCAATTCAAAATTATATTTATTTTTTCTTGCAATTAAGGGGTGACAAGAGATGGCTTGAGCAAACACTTCTTCCACAAACCATCAAGAGCTTACACAACCGGGACAAGAAAACGACGTAAAATAATCCAAACGGATCACGACTCCGAGTTAACCGGATCATCAGAAACCAGGTGGCACAAAACGGGCAAAACAAGACCGGTTATGATCAATGGTCAACAAAGAGGATGCAAGAAGATATTGGTACTCTACACAAACTTCGGCAAGAATCGACGACCAGAGAAAACAAATTGGGTGATGCATCAATATCATTTGGGGATTAGTGAGGAAGAGAGAGAAGGAGAGCTCGTGGTCTCTAAGATCTTTTATCAGACACAACCTAGACAGTGTGTTAGTAATATTCATTGGTCTGATCATCATGGTTCCAAGGACATTATTGGAATTGATGTCGGAGATGAGATTTCCGGCGTAGCTGCCACGTTGCAGAGTCTTGGCTCCGGTGACGTCGTTTCTAGGGCTAATATGAATCCCTATACAAGAGGCTTTGATGAGGTATATATACTTTTTTCCCTTACAATACTAAAATATATATTATGATAGTATATATGAATAACTTCAAAACATAAGTATTTTGGTCAATTTCATTTTCAAAAACTCCACAACTTATTTGTTTGTCAGCTGACTACTATAATTATATGTATTCATAGTTTTTTTTATTGTGTCTTTATGTATATAATAATTTTTTTATCGTGGATGTATAATTTTTTTTGTCATTTTTATATGGTGGATATAAAATACCTTTTCTCTAATTTTACGATATATTGCTTCTAATGCTCAACTTTTACGTAAAATAAGTCTTACTATTGTGGTATCTTAATGCAACAATGAGAGTTTTAAGGTATTAGAACATTTTCTTTTTGGTAACCAACATTTTTTTGTGTGGTAATTAACATGTACGTAATCAAGGGGACAGCCGAAGCTTCAAAGGGAAGAGAAAACCAGCGGGTGTCTGGCACGTGCGAGGAAGTATATGATGGGATCATAACATCATCAATGTCATCTCATCATATGATTCATGATCATCATAATCAACATCATCAAATCGGAGGTAGAAGAGATCTCCACATGTCATCATCATATCCCATGACTCCTACTATCACATCGCAACATGAGTCAATCTTCCATGTTACAAGTACTATGCCCTTTCAGGTAATGTTTTCATTCATTAATTTTTACTTAATAATCAGACAAAAAAAATCATTCCTCCAAATTAGCTCAAAATCTAAAGTCAATGCACGCGAACGTGCATGCATGGATATAGGCAGCTAGATAGTAGTGATATTAGTGTTTCTTGTCTACTTGGACATTTAATCATAACCACTCATTTAAATAAAGACTAATGATTTTGGATCTACAGGCTCATGCAAAAAGTAATTCATAGATCAATTCCTTCTCATATGTGTTATTATAAATAAATGGTTAATATTAGTATTCGCAATTTGATTGTTTTTTGAAATGACAGCAGCAGCAATTGAGGGGTCGGTCGTCTGGTTCGGGATTAGAAGACCTAATTATGGGTTGTACCACAGCTACTTGCATAGAAGACGTAAGTTTGTAACGAATATGTGTATTTCTTATTAATTACATTCGTGATTGTTCTAACATAAGTTGTGTGTATTGGTCAATCTTTTGAATAAAACAAATGATATAATCACAAATAATTAAATTCGCAGGAGCATTCATCAGAAGCAAACCCACAGCAAAATGCAGAGTGGTTAACGTTTCCACCTTTCTGGTAGGACCAAAAAATCAAATTATATACATCATTAAAAAAATTTGTATTCTAAACAATTGTTAACCAACAAGTCATTTTGTTATAATATTGCTAACCATCTAGACCGGACACAATTTCGCAGGAGCCAAGCCGAATCAGAAGATCAAAACCGGAGATTTTAACAGAACCAAAAGGAAGCAGAGAAGTCTTGTCAAAACACCTCCTGCTTAGCTTTTGATCGATTTCGGAATTACTGAGTTATGACTGACTTAGTCTTTGCCATTTAACTTACAATATCATTAGAGGTTGCGATGAATGCTGATTCGCTCAAAGGAGATTGTAATCTGTTAAATTCCTCAACAACCTATTTATACATGAAATCACAAGCATTCAGAAACAAATCCTAGAGTCTCTGTATTAAAGAACCACACACACAAAAAGATCCTGTTTTCAGTTTCATTATATGATTGTATCTTTGGTGAAACATATCGATAAAGCGATCAAGATTTACCTTCCTCTGTGAATCATGCAATAAAACCCGCGGTCTTATTGAGCGCACATGTTCAAAAGCTGCAGCTACAGTCATACTCTTATGTTCAATCTGAAAACAAATAGAGAGAAAACGTTAGTGAGAAAGGAGGTTAATAAAGGACCAACTGCAAGTTTAATTTAACCGAGATGATTTGATCAATGAACTTACCAGATAACAGAGAACAACGGTAGTACTTCTTCCGCGACCAGCTTTGCAATGGACGTAAGTAGTTTTACCAAGCAAAGCATTCTCTGTTACAAAACGGGAATGTAGAATAAGCAGCAGAAACTAGAAAGAGTAAATGCAAGTAAAGATAAAACGAAAGCACAACATCACTCACTGTGAATGAAGTTGACAGCTCGGGTTATATCTGCAATCGAAGGAGCAAACAAGTAATCCCGTGTTGGTATCACTAGATGCTCCATTTCATAAGCCTAAAACAACTTGCAATCATCAAATACTCCACAAGTAGACAAAAAAAGATTTGAAACACAAGATTTGGTGGCATTGAACCTACATTGTACAAAGAGGATGGTACCAAAGTCTCATAAGGTTCATTAAGAGTAATCACGCCACCAACACCTAACTGTTTTAATCGCGGAACATCCTTACGAAATGGAACCGCTCCCATCAGCAGATACTGAACAAAAAAAAGACTTTCTGCATCAGAAAAAAACGCTGCATAGACCAAATTGATACTCAGGGATTTGAGGAAAGAGCTCAAATTTCAATAGTTTGCAGCATAACAATACAGACAGAAACAATTCTGAGTTAAGATAGTCTCACATTGCCTCCTCTTTCGAATCAAAACATTCCAGTCAAAATTCAGATTCCTAATGCTAAAAAGTTATCTCCTTTAAATCTCATTGGCACAAAGTTTAGTAGAATCTAATGATCTGACACTAAAAGTATAATTTTTTTTAGAAACCTCATCGATTTGATCCCACCATCGAAATTGAGACTGGAGTTTGAAGCGGACGAGGTTGTACAAAAGAGTCGGATAAAACAGGATCCGACCACCAGCTCCGATAAGAGCTCTCTTTGCTTTATCTCCCTTCGAACCTACACTCTTCTTCTTCTTCTTTGAAACGCCGTCGTTTCCTGATGATCGCTGCTGCGTCGTGTTATCTTCCTCCGTTTCATCGGTCATCGCCGGGAAGAAGAAAAACTTCAGAGTTAAGAGTTGGTCAACGAATATTTAGACATATTTACAAAATCACCCTACCTTAAAATAAAACATACTAAGGCCCATTACATAAGGCCCACTAAGATCTTTGTTCTTCTTTCTACCTTCAAAATCTTTTCCTTTCTAAAATATTCCATCATTTCATAATAAATCTCATTTTACCACTTCATATTTGTGAATTTCACAAAAAGTGTCAATTTATCTTTATAAACAAAATTTTAAGTAATTAAATGACATTTATTATGAAACATAAAGGGTATTTTTTACTCAATCTTTGAATACTATTGTTGTTGTTTTTAGATTAATACACCTATTTTTTCCAAGATTTATTGTAATAATGTGCTTCTAAAATTATGTTTCAAATAAAATAGTGAAATAATTTTTTAAAAAATTATATAGGAAGATTGATGGTATTTATTAAAATCCTTTCATTTTATTGTTTAAATTAAAATTAAATCTAGTTTCATTCAATGTTAGAGCCAAAAAATCAACAAAATTAATTATTATGAAAAAGGAAAGACTTTTTTTTTTAAGGAAAACACCATATTTAATTTAATGTTTGTTTCCTTAAATATTTTTTTTTCCATTTTACTAACTCTAGTTTTCAATTTGTTATACCAAATTTTCCTCCTTTTTCAATTAAGATTTTCTATACAATTTTTATTAAAAAGAGTCGTACTGGCACGTGTCGATCATGTATAAATCTATATATTTGCGTAAATGCCACTGCCACAAACACACACTCGTAGTTTCGACGCTATCTCTAGAACATTCCGATAAACCACAAAGAAGCAGAGCAAAGTAAAGAAGAAGGAAGAAGACGAAGATGTCGTGGCAGACTTACGTCGACGATCACTTGATGTGCGACGTTGAAGGCAACCGCCTCACCGCCGCCGCAATTCTCGGCCAAGACGGCAGCGTCTGGGCGCAGAGCAGCAATTTCCCTCAGGTTAGGGTTTATATCTCTACCCAGTGCTCATTCTTATTAGCTATATTCGCTTTTGCTGTTTCTGTTTGGATCTCTGTTGAAATCTGCAACCTTTTTTTTGTTTAGCTTTAGCTACTTAATCACCAAAATTCAGCAATTTTCATGATTGGTTTTGGTTTTCTGATTCATGTGTTCTTGAAGAAGTTTAATTCACGAGTTTAAAGCTCTTTTAAGCAGAAATTTGGTGACTTTGGAAATAGAGAACTTCTTTGTGGTTGAGTTTTGTTTTATGGTTTTTGTGGTTCTTCCAGAGTGAAGTTTTTACTGATAGAAGTTGTTTAAGAAATGCTGTTTCTTAGTTTTGGATTGTTCAGTGTTTGTACTGGTTATGTAGTTTATAGGTTGCTTTCATGAGATCTTTAAAAGAAACTGAATTTGCTTTGTTTCGGTATTTTTGTTATTTTAGTTGAAGCCTGAGGAAATTCAGGGCATCAAAGACGATTTTACTACACCTGGAACACTTGCCCCAACAGGATTGTTCCTTGGTGGCAACAAGTACATGGTAATCCAAGGAGAGCCAAATGCCGTCATTCGAGGAAAGAAGGTAACTAGACTGTTTGTGTTTGATTGTTGTGTGATTTTTGATGAACCTTTATTCACTGCTACTTGTTGTAGGGAGCTGGTGGTGTTACCATCAAGAAGACCACCCAAGCTTTGGTCTTTGGTATCTATGAAGAACCAATGGCTCCTGGACAATGCAATATGGTCGTGGAGAGGCTCGGTGACTACCTCATTGAATCAGGGCTCTGAAACCCAAGCCGCTGCTATATTTAATGTTGCTCATGTAATCTTGTAGTTGTGTCGTGAGAGCAAAACTATTTATATATCGAAGGTGATTGATCATTCGATAGTCCGACTGTGAATTACTTACCATGTGATGGATCTTGGAGTTGTATGATTTCTAAAACAATATGGTATTGTCTCCATTTGTGTCGAGTTGAAATTTTAATGAATGGCAGTGTGGTACCATATCTTTAGAGTTCATGAATGGTTATGCAGATTGAGATTGTTGTGAATTGTAGTGAGGATGATTCAGATCACAATTGATTTTAGACAAGTTTTCAGATAGAATGTCTGTACAATGATTCCACTGCAGGAAGAAAGACAAAATCTCAGACTGTCACAATTTCTAGACCAAACTATTCAGGAACAAATTTTGCTTTTTCTTGCTATTGCTACATTTCTTTCAGATTCCGGTTACAGTGGCTGTGAATTCATAGAGTGCAAACTGAAGAACAACGAGATCATGAGACAGAGTTTCAAAATCCATCGGAGTAGTTCGTTTCCACTTTTAGTTGAAGCAGAGGAGGTCAATGCAGTTGCATTCGTCGCCTTGGTTTTGTTCCTGCAGAAAGATTTTAACAAATCAGTAAGAATATGTATGTATTGTTCTTCAGTTTGCAAATCTGAAACAACTAGCTTTAGGACATACCCTCCTGCAGTTATGTATATGCATTTGTCATAACCTGCAACAACATTGAATCAGATTAAGGTAAGATCAAGACTGTTGATTTGTGATTTTGCAGAAGTAAGAGGTGGAGATTTTGTTTACTTACTAGGATCCTTGTTGACCTTAACACCAGCTCCTCCAAAGCTACAAGCGACGTCTGTAGCTCTATTCTGCTGGAAATAGCTATTGAACACGAAAGAAGCATGAGAAACCAAAGTATCTGGTTGGAAACAAGGCTGGCTCGGTTGAATAGCTGTGCAATCAACATTTCCAGGACCACAAGCCCAATCCAAAGCACCTTTCAGATCTCTCTCTGAAGCTTTAGAAGAAGCAATGCACCAGCTATTACTACTCCCACTCGAGTTTGTACCACTCGAATTCGAGTGAAACCCGTTGCTCTTTCCCGTGAAATCCAACTGATAAACGCTTGTCTGGTCAGGGTAGAACAATCCCCAGTTTCTCTCTGAATCTAAACCCGTTTTCCGATTCTCGTTGAACAATGAGAATATATAAACGTTCATTGCCTCTCCTGGCTTTGCAGGTGTGCCTTGGTTGGTAACCACATGACGGATTATGTTTGAATTGTATGTCTCCGCATTGTCAGGAGACGCAGCAGCTTTCTCCTTCGGTGAACCTTTGGTTGGCCATCCAGTCTCGGTAACCATAATCTTGATTGTCCTGAAGTTTAAAGCCGTGAGAGCGTAATAGAGAGCATCAACTTGAGCATCAAACATGTTCTTGTAAAGCAAACCCGTGTTCGGGTCAATCACTTCAGAGGAAGACTCAAACAACACATAATCCAAAGACACATTGTTTGGAGAGTCTCTATAAGCGTAATACGGATAAAGATCGATCATAAAAGGAGACTTATTCTCTGCAAGGAACTCTAACATTGGTCTCAAGAAATAAGCATAGCTGCTGTTAAATGCTCCAGCAGAAGGAGGGAAAGATCTAGAGAGAATCCCGAGCGAAAGAGTCGTCGAAACCTTGATTCTTCTACTCAAACCGACTTTCCTCAGACCGGTTAAGACATTCTGCATCGCGGGGACAACGAAAGATGAAGCATTGATGTGTGGATCATCAGTAGATTCAGCTCCAACGGTAATGTAAGTAATCTTGGTCGTTGGATAGTATGGTAACACGCTGTTCTTTAGCCAGGTGTCTACATTTGATTGGGATTGAGAGAAAGCGTTAAGATCAGAGTTTGGAACTCCAATCATAAGCTCAATGCTTGTGTTTCCAAATGCTTTGAGGACTTGAGAATTGTAATCATAGATTCTAACGTATTTGATGTTGTGCTGTTGAATCAATTGAACAACTTTTGCCGGTGTTGGAAGATCGTCGGCGCTTCTTCCGTAACAAACTCCGACCTTGCCACCGTAGCAATAGTCTGCAAAATTTGGGGGAAAAAGATAGAATCAATTGTTTTTTTTTTTTCTGACCAAAATGTTCTTTTGATAGCTCTATGAAATTGCCTAGAAGCTCTACAGTACATTAGAAGAAGGTTATGGAATCTATGCAACAAGAATAGAAATTGGAAACCATTTAATTCAGAACAAAGTCTCAGAGAGCTCTTGAAGGGAATACTAGAGAGAGAGACAGAGAGACAAACCAAGAAGCAGAAGCAAAAGAGAAATGGAGAAGATGAGCTTGAAGTCTCTCGCCATTGCTGAGTAAACTACACTCTGCTTTGCTTCCTTTCCTCGAAAGAAGGAAGCTTTTTTTATCTTCTGGCAGCTCTTCTTCTTCGAGTTTCTTCTCTCTTTAGAGAAAAAAGTTTGAAGCTTTTTCTCTCTCTACAAAAAAGCTTCGCTAAAGCTCTCTCTCTCTTTTTACAGCGAGAGTGGGAAACTAGTTTAGTTTAGTTTTTTTTTTGGAAAAAAGATTGCCAGCACCCTGAACTGTTGGAGAATACATGGCCACACATGGCAACTAAAATAACGGATCTTCACCTACCTGAAGTATATGTATATCATGGTCACATATTCGAATTATATGTCGTCATGTATTCTACACCACAGACATAAAATCTCGGTTAACTGGTCTAAAAACTCCGGAGTTGACCAATCGTTGACTCGTCGGAACCCAGTTTAAAACCGGGTCTGAGACTTATTGACCCGACCCGTTGACCCGCTCCACGTCCGCTCCAGAGTTGGGCACTCGTAATGGGCCAGAATTAAAACAAAAGGCCCATCTTCGTTGAAGCCCTAATCTAATTGATTTGTTTCATGAAAACAATAAGGCCCATCTTCATTAAAACATTGAATCGACACCATCTTCGTAAAAAGGTTTTACCTTAGATCTGTGGAGAACAAAAAATCCCCTTTTCACTTAGGGTTTATGAGAGATTGGAAGCGTTTGAAGCTAGAGAAGACGAATCCGGTGACATTGTTGGTTGAAATCGAGATAGAAGACGAAGTCGCGTTTTGATTCTCGTTCCAATGAGGTACATTTATGCTTGCGGTTTGATTTGGTAACTTGATTTGGTAACTTTGTAGGGTTTATTTCGACAACAAGTTGTGGTTTTTACTGGGTCTGAGCATGTGGGCAAGTGGGGATGTTGTCGGGAACTTTTTAGGGTTGATTTGGGGATTTCCTTAAGTCAAGAGAAGAAAAAATCGTGTTTAATACAACAACAAGAGCTGATGGCAGTGAGGCATTTCATCAAATGTACATCTGTTTTGAGGCGTTGAGGACTGCTTGGAAGCAGAATTGCAGACCAATCATTGGTCTAGATGGTACATTTTTGAAGAACTCGATGAAAGGGATGATGCTTACTGCTGTTGGAAGGGATCCTAATAATCAGATATTTCCAATAGCATGGGCAGTGGTGGATTGTGAGAACAATCCAAATTGGGAATGGTTTGTTGGCAAGTTGAAGAGAGATTTGGGCTTGGGGTTAGGTGAGAACATCACTCTCATTTCTGACATGCATAGAGGCTTGATTCATGGGATTTCTACTGAGTTACCAATGGCAGAGCATCGAGCTTGTGCTAGGCATATCTACTCTAACTTGAAGAAAAATCACAAGGCTGACATGTTGAAGCCATTGTTCTGGAGAGTTGCAAGCAGTTACAACAGTGGTGATTATAAGGAAAATTTGGCTATTTTCAAGGAGTTTGATGCACAGGCTTGTCAGGCTCTACTTCAAAAGGATCCAACTACATGGTGTAGGGCATTCTTTAGGGTTGGTTGTTGTTGTGCTGATACACACAACAATCATACAGAGTCATATAATAGAACTTTGAAGATTGCAAGGAGGAAGCCGTTTGTCCAGATGTTAGAACTAATAAGAAGAGATGCAATGCAAAGAGTAGCCAACAGGTCCACTATTGCTGAAAAAGAAACTGCAAAGTTCACCAAAAAAGCAAGGACAGAAGTACAGAAATCATGTGAAGGAGCTCAATATTGTGCAATGGTTAGAACCACTGGCGGGGAGTATGAGATTGTTGAGTTTGGAATGGGATATGCAGTGAGCTTGAGTGGTCGTACTTGTGCATGTAGGATGTGGGATTTGACTGGTATTCCATGTCGTCATGCTATATGTGCAATCAGGGAAATGAATTTTGAAGTGGAAGACTACATCTCAGACTATTACTTGACTGCAAAATGGCAAGAGACATATAGGAGAGGTTTGAAACCTGTGAATGGATCTAAATTCTGGCCAGATTCAGGAAGACCAAGGATTGCAGCACCACCTTTCAAGCGTCCTGCTGGGAGACCAAAGGGTAAAGCAAGGATCAAGGGTTTAAATGAATCACCACGCAAAAAGAAATCTGAAACAAAAGTTGGTCGGGAAGGAAGAATAGTGCATTGTGGTCTATGTGGTGAAGCTGGTCATAATTCAAGAAAGTGTCCTCATGAGGTATGAAATTTTATTGTCTCATTGTCATCTGTCTACACTCTAACTCTGTTTGTGTTTGATTTTGGTCATTTCTCTTTCAATAGTCTCCAGAGAGCAGGGCAAAGAGACTGAAACAAAACGATATCCCTCAATTGGAAGCTCAAGATCAAGCTGAAATGGAAGCAGCTTTTGCAGCAATGGAACAGGCACCTCCTGAGACTCAACCTGAAGTGCAAGATGTTTCTTCATCCGCACCTCAGATTAGCTTTATCAATAGGATACTATTTGGATGAGTGGATGGTATGTAGAGGGTGTAGGAATTTTTTGGTCATGTGATTTGGTCATGTATTTGATCATGTCTTACACTTAATCGGCTTGTTTTGGTCATGTCTTAGGTGATGTTAACTTGTTTTGGTATTGTGTTTTGGTCTTGTATTTGGTGATGTTAACACTTAATCGGCTTGGTTTTGGACACATTTTAGCTTGTTTTTGGTCTTTTTTTTTTTTTGTCAAACGCTTGTTTTTGGTCATGTAATCAAACGCTTCATTACAACAGCTTCATTACCAAACTACAAATTCATTACCAAACTACAATTTCATTACCAAACTACAAATTCATTACCAAACAAGAACAAGACAAACGAACTACTCAAGCTTGATGCAAATACTCTACTTAAGACAATAACTCAACTACAGACAATTACTCCAATGGCACATACAAGTAAACCCGTCAAACCCGTGATGATTACTCGTTGGCGATGCACAATCTTTTCCAGCTCCTCAATCTTAGCCTTTGTCTTCAATCCCATATCAATTGACTCTTTCTCTTCATCGTCGGAATCAATTGATGATATCTCCCCTTTAACCTTCTCCAAATGGTCACGGAGCTCCTTGATTGTCACTGTTAGTTCATCGATCATCTTGTTCTTCGCATTAATTTCAGCTTCAACTTCTATGAACCCGCTTTTCGGCAATCTCTTCAGTTCTTCTTCTTCAAACCACCTAAAGAACTTGCAATGAGCATTACTTCCTTCCTTGTACAACTGACAGCCAAAGAACCGCCGATTTGGATTTTTCTCCGTTTTGGATTTGTAGATCTTAGCAGGCAATCCACAATCACACACTTTCCGGCCTCCATCTAAACTCCTAAAGGTACTAGAAGATCCCGAGCTTAATTCCATCTTCTCACCTCCGTCGAACTCCTTTTTCACGATGAAGAAAATAAACAAGAACCCTAAAATCGATTTTTCAGATTTTGGGGTAAAATGTGGTGGAGCAGATGTCGTGGAGCAGGTAAACGAAGATGGGCCTTTTGTTTTAATTTTGGCCCATTAAGAAGGCCCAACTCTATTATCTGAAGCGGGTCGTGGAGCAGGTAAACGTGTCGGGTCAAAAAGTCTCGGACCCGGTTTTAAACTGGGTTCCGACGAGTCAACGATTGGTCAACCCCGGAGTTTTTAGACCAGTTAACCGAGATTTTATGTCTGTGGTGTAGAATACATGACGACATATAATTCGAATATGTGGCCATGATATACATATACTTCAGGTAGGTGAAGGTCCGTTATTTTAGTTGCCATGTGTGGCCATGTATTCTCCAACAGTTCAGGGTGCTGGCAATCTTTTTTCCTTTTTTTTTTCTTGGCTATTGTTTTTTTCTTGTCAGAAGTTGAACACTGGTCGGAAACAAACCGGGCCTCAGGCAGTACAATAAATTCGATTTGATAGAACTGTCTGGATTCCGCTAAGCTTTGAGACCATTTCCAACTTTTCATTAGTCCCCCGTTATTTATGCGTATTCTCAAAACTACCCCAATATAAATTATTGGTCCCATGGAATTTAATTTTGTGAGGTTTGGATACGCTCTAAATAAATACGATCACAAATACATTAATTTGCTTATAGCTTTAATCCTTTAAACAGTGGGAAAATATTAATTTCAAACCGACAAAATGAAAAAAAAAAAAAAATTTAAATTCGTTTATCCAATAAACAAATAATTACATAATAAACCTTTTTACGATTCCAAAAAAAAACAATTAAGATTATTCTTCTTATCGCCAGCTGTCGATCATACCAGAGATAACCGGTGGAATGGTTCGAAGAACAGCCTGTGGTGTAGTTAATGGGCCGTATCATCTTATATCTATTAATTGAAGCCCATTTGAATCTTACAGCCCAATTTATTTAATTTTTTTCTCTAAATTATATGATTTTTGATTTTACTTTTTTTCCCGGTCTTACGCGTTCAAAATAATAAGTCCGTTAACATTGAAGAATCGTCGTCTTCTCTCCACTTTCTTTCTCTTTCTTGAAATTGCTTATTTAGAAACCCTAGAGAGCGATAATCCCTAGAAAGAAAAAAATGGTGAAGATCAAATCGAACTTGAAGCAGCTTAAGCTCTCCGTTCCAGCTCAAGAATCCCCAATCTCTTCCTTCTTGTAAGTTTCCCGATTTCTCCTTTTTCTACTTCGATCTGTTTTGTTTCGTGAGATTGTAAACAAAATCGATTGATTTGAATCATTTCTTTATCTGGGTTTTAACTCATTCTGTGAAATTGATTGAATTCGATTTGAAAAAATAGGACTGCGAGTGGAACATTTCACGATGGAGATTTTCTTCTGAATCAAAAGGGGCTAAGGTTGATGTCAGATGAGAAGCAATCAAGGGTAATTTCAACCCTAATCTTGTTTATGAGAGATCTCACTTTTTCCAGAGAATTAAGTACTTAAGTGGTTTTATTGTGTTTGTGTTGTTATCTTCCATTATAGCAATCTGATAGCAAGGAGCTTGATTTTGAAATTACCGCTGAAGATTTGGAGACTGTAAAAGTTATCGGAAAAGGCAGTGGTGGTGTTGTTCAACTAGTTCGTCATAAATGGGTTGGCAAATTCTTTGCTATGAAGGTAAAGTACTTGTTTTTCTTCTCATTGACTAGTCTCTTATAATCTTCTCAGGGATTCATAAGATGGGCAGTAGGAAAGTTTAGTTCTTTTGATATTATGATCACAAATAATGCTGGTGAATAAGGTCTTTGAGTATATTTGGGGTTTTGAGTTTGTTTATTTTATGAATCACAGGTCATACAGATGAATATACAAGAAGAAATTCGTAAGCAAATTGTTCAGGAGCTCAAAATAAACCAAGCATCATCGCAATGTCCACATGTAGTTGTTTGCTACCATTCTTTCTATCACAATGGAGCCTTTTCTCTTGTGCTTGAATACATGGACCGTGGATCTCTTGCGGATGTGATAAGACAAGTCAAGACTATTCTTGAACCTTACCTTGCTGTTGTCTGTAAACAGGTCCATTTAACTTCCTATACTCTACCAAGTGATTTAAAGTATTCTCATGGTTTGTTGTCACTCTTACTTATTTTACCCTTGTTTACAGGTTTTGCTAGGCCTTGTGTACCTGCACAACGAAAGACATGTCATACACAGAGACATTAAGCCATCAAACCTTCTTGTAAACCATAAAGGGGAAGTGAAAATCTCAGATTTTGGTGTAAGTGCAAGTCTTGCTAGCTCCATGGGACAGAGGGACACATTTGTTGGAACCTACAACTATATGTCGGTACGAAAGCATTCCAAAAATAATCTACATTACAAATTTCTTGATGTTTTTGTATTGTTAAACATACATAATCATGACTTGTCTCTTTCTCACTTCTTCACTTCACAGCCTGAGAGGATCAGTGGAAGCACATATGACTACAGCAGTGACATATGGAGTTTGGGCATGTCAGTGTTAGAATGCGCAATAGGAAGATTCCCTTACTTAGAATCTGAAGATCAGCAAAACCCACCGAGCTTTTATGAACTCTTGGCAGCAATCGTAGAGAATCCACCACCAACTGCTCCTTCTGATCAATTCTCACCTGAATTCTGCTCCTTTGTATCAGCCTGGTAAGTGGTAACTCATTATTCGCATCTTCATATAATTTGGATAAAGACACAGACAGAATGAATATTAATGGTCCAAATGATTCTGCTGTACATTAACAACAGCATACAAAAAGATCCTCCAGCAAGAGCATCATCTTTGGACCTCTTGGTAAGTAATTCCTACTCACCACTCTCTCTCTCAGTCTTGGTTATTAGTATCTCTGATGAAACATTCTAAGATTTGTTTGTTCATGATCTCAGAGTCATCCATTCATAAAAAAGTTTGAAGACAAGGATATTGATCTCGGGATACTTGTTGGCACTCTGGAACCACCTGTTAACTACCTTAGATAAGTAAACCTTCTTCTTCCGCATTTGCATTTGGTATATGATATGATATGATAAGATACATGATATTGTGTAATCTATCTCTAAAGATTATTACTTGACAATGAAAGTTGAATGAGATTTTATTATACAAGGTTTTGGTTAAATATGTGATAGTCAATTTTAAAACTTATTTTCTCCCAAATTATGACATTCCATGTAAACAAAAAAAGCTCTGTTTTCAAGAATTAAAGAAGATCCGGAGATAAGAAAACAAAACCATCAAAGATAAAAGTCAAGGGAAAGGAAGAAGAAAGCTAAGAACGTCTCTGCGTCTTCTAGAGAGACACACACCATCACATAAGAGAGTCACATTAGTCAAACACAAACTCACATATCTCTGAAACTCTCTCCATAGACATTAACTCGCTGAACCTGGAATCACATTGGTTTCTACATTTCGTAGAGAATGTCGCCCTCTGTAGGAAAGTAGCGTTTGCTAGTATGTACCCAACCATATCCTTCTCATGCTCAGTTCCTTCATAATTTCTCCATTTCAAGATCTCAAGACGCGTAGATAGACATTCAGGAACAACTGGTGGTTTTTCCCAGATGCTCTTCGGATTGATATCTTCTTTATGTCTCTGACATTGAAAAAATGAAAGAGACATTACGTGTGTTAGTGTTATAGATCGTCTAAAAAGAAACGGACACACAGAGATGATGCTATGGTATACTATTTTTCTATGTTTAAAGAACGTGATTCTGCAGTTTTTATCATTCAAAACATTGCTAAAGTTTTAGTGTTGCTAGTAGTGAATGTGTATGAAAAATATCACAAGAAAATGTTATCATACTCATACTGTTCATCTGACATACTAGTAAAAAGTTGCATTCTACATACCAACTTAAGTGTAAGAGATCGAAGATTGGGAGTGTCATTGAGCATACACGCAAGTAGATTCTGCCATCCCGCAGAACATGTACATAGCTTTAGATGTTCAAGATTGGGGAATTTTGTGTCTGTAGGATATGGAGTCTGCAGTTATAAAGTTTATGTTATTTTCAGTAATGAGAATAAACGAAACATAAAAGTAGAAATATTGAC